TAGAAAAAGAAAGAGATGAATACCGCCGGCTTTATGTAGCCGCTAATGGTGAAGTGTTAGGTTTAAAGCAAGAAATCAGACACTTAAAAGATAGGTTAGCCAATCGTGAAACTGAAAACTTGCGGCAAACTACTATGGAACGAGAAAGGATGAATATTCAGTTGCAAAAAGATGCTAGTTCCAGGGAACTTGAATCATTAATGACCAACTCTTTTCAGCAATTAATTCAAAATAAGAAAAAGTAAAGAATTTAATAGTTAACAAACTTTAAAAAAAAACCGAACTGCTCAACAATTTCCTCCCAAGGGGGGGTTCACCAAAAAGGCAGTTCGGTTACCCCTCTCAAGAAATATGTTGTAAGACACCAAATGGTGAGTTAAAACCGACTGCCGCCAAAACCGACTGCCAAGATTTAAAATCAAATGACAGTCGATAGAAACCAATACTTACATTTATTAGAGCAAAAAATACAGCAAGACGAAATAATCCAATTGGTTAAGGCTGATAGCCGCTACTTGGAATTATTTTCAGACAACAAAATCCAAATATACGGCGGGTCAGCTAGGTATATTTTAACTCAACCTAAAGCCGGCATCAAATTTAAACCTGATTTGTCGGTTCATTCCGGAAATGATTTTAGTAGGCAAATAGATATTGCTTGAATCGATATCCCCTCAGTAATCGATAAAGTTTATTATGATTTAGTAGTAGAAGACCGATTCCAAGAGGCTCTGGATACTCCTGCTAAAGTAGCAGAATTAACTACTCAATTAAAAGAAAACATAGCCGAACAAATTACTGATGATATTAACGAAAAAATTGAAGAAATTTGAACTACTGACAATAATTACCAAAAAAACACTACCAATTTAGAAAATGGAGAAGCACCCGATGGCAATTTATATGAAATGCCGGAAAAGTGATTTAGCGAGGCTGATAAAGTATTAGGAGCAATTTATAATACTAGTTCGGCATTTTTGAATAAGAATGACCTTTTTCAACTAGGATGATTAAAGCCAACTGATAATCAAACTAACCCTTTTACCAGAACCAAAGTAAAGACTAATACCAAGAAATTAAAAGACATTTTCCTAGTATTAGACTCCACTGTTCACAACTTACTAGCGATTGGTAAATTTAGCCAAGCTTTTAACTTTAAATTTGTGGATTTAAAAGAAAGATTTGGGGAAGTAATTGAAACTAGTTTACCGAACAAGTACAAAATAGTGATGTTCGATAAGCGAGTGATGGTATTGAAACCACGTGATAGAAATAAAGGATTAGAGCATAAATACGAGCCAGAAACACAAACTAATTGGTTCTTCTGCCCAAGTAAAGTTTATGCCGGATTAATAACTTGCTTAAACTACTGTGCTTGAAAGGTAGCATAGCAACGCTTATTTGTATGGCAGAAATAATAAACTTTGAAGAAAGTAGAGAAAATTTTACTTGCAGTTGCAAAACTTGCAATAAATGCGGAACTGATTTATCTGACGGAAATAGATGCGATTGCATAGTAAAAGTATATTGCATAACTGACGAAGACTGAGAAAGCATGAGTCCCGAAGAACAATCTAAGTATAACTCTAGCGATGGGTTTTTAGGTTGCGAAACTTGTTATCAACCATAATTAGGAAGAATAATAATGACAGAAGAAATTAAAAATGAAATGGGTCGATGAGACCAAGAATTAAAATGTGATATTTGCGGCGGTAATGTTTGGTTGGCTTCGCCTGGTAATGGAGTAGCGGGAACTCCATACACCGGACTTGATGAAGCTGAATTGCGACACAGTTGCGGAGCGATTATTTGTGAAAAATGTATGGCAGAAAACCCAACTTGCCCAAAATGCGATGCTCCATATTAAGGAAAGTTTTAACAAATTATGATTTGCGGAAAATGTAATAGAGAATACGAACTAGAAGATGGAGCACACAATCAACCGACATCAATATGTAAATCCCTCTGACTATTTAGTATAATTTATGAATGATACAATTTATAAAAATTTTAGACTTTTAGATTTATTTATAGTAGATAAAGGAAGCAAGCACAGCAATATACCGGGTTGCAATGGCTGCGAAAAATCTTTTGTCGACGGAGATGAAGCTTACCGCACGGAATTTGATGTTTTTTATGATGAAGGTGAATATGGAGTAACCGAAAGCAAAGGTTGGGTAAATTTTTATTGCTCTGATTGTTTTAGTACTCGTAAGGGACAAGAGTTAATAAACCATTGATAATATTATGACTAACAGCCAATTAATGACTTTTACTTGCGAAACTTGCGGAAAAATAACCAATCGCGTTAAAGTTTACGAGTATTATAAAGATGATTTAAGAAGGATAATGAAGCATAGTAATAACTATTGCCAAGAATGCTACCAGACCCAAGTAGAGCAGAATAAAGTAGTGGTTAAGAATACTGGTGAGATTAAAGGATTTAAACTGAAATAAAGCAAATTTATAAAAAAAGACAGAAAATGAATATTAAAAAATACGAAATTTTGGATAGAAAATCAATAACAGCAACCGAAGCCGAAGATAGCAAACTAGGACTAGGAGGACTTATTTGTCAATCATGCGAAAAAGACTTTGATAAGGAAGGTGAAATTCTTTTCGTTATAGAAGAAACAGAAAGTGGAGATGGGTTAGATGTATGCAAAAGTTGTCTAAGTAATTTTGTAAGCCCAGAAGATAAAACACAAGAATAAAATAAGATGGCAACAGAAATAATAGAACAAAGAGAAATATCCAAAGAAATGGTGGTATTTAGTAAAAGTTGAGCCTGTCAAGAGTGTGGAACTGAACCCATGGAGGGCGACAGGCGATATTTTACTAAAGAAGATAATCAAGAAACTATTATTGTCTGCGAACAATGTAAAGAAATTTTAACAAGAAAATAAACGAAAATTAAGCATGGATATAATTTGTGAACGCTGTGGAACCAGTGAAGAAGAAAGATTTGTAAAAAAGTGCGGGGAGTGCGAAAGGGATATGTGTCCTAATTGCATATTGACTCGCGTGACGGATGTTGCTTAGATTGCTTTGATATCAACCGACACAATAAATTTACAGGATAGCGAAACTAACTAAACGAATAATAATAAAACCGAACTGCCATTTTTAACAATAAAAATGGTAAATTATTGAAACGGAACCCTAGAACAAATGCATGATTTGTCGGGAACAATATATAGCGAAGAAGATTTAGAAGTAGCAATTAAGGAATTTGTCTTTAATTATTATTGCGGATTAAGTGTTTTAGAAGGCGGAGGAACTTTGTTAGACTATTGAGACGAAGTAGAAGAAGAATTAATAACTCGCGGCAAAATAGCCTTGGTAGAATACAAAGACGATCCTGAGGCAATTACTGGTAAAATTTTCCTAGCCGAAGTGGTAGAAGAAGATAGTAATTTGCTAAACAAATATGATACAGTAAAATTACGCCTATTAGCCAACAAAAAAATAGAAATTCAAAGCAATAAAAAAACCTATCCTTATAAATATGTAGTTTTTGAAAATAACCGAGCTAATGAAGCCTACATGAAGCGGATCAATTATTTTATTAAACAAATGATTGAGGCGGTAAAAAAAATGGCGATAGATGCTTTTATGAGTGAACGCAAATTGATATTTATAGTTCCCGAGCAACCAGCCGAAGAGGATGCTAACTATCTAATCCAAATGTGAAAGAAGGGGATATTTTTCTTTATCGCCTTTGAGAAAAGTAGGCGACCAGAAAAAGGAGCATCAGATGGCAAAACTGGTATTCACCCCAGCCAAGTTAAATTCGAAACTTATGAGCCTAAATTAGACATCCGAGCCTGATATATCCGGGATTATGAGTTTTGGCATACAAAAATGGAAAAATATCTGGGAGTGCGGCATGACCCTTTGTCCCAAAAACAAGAGCGAGCCAATGTTGCTGAAACCAATGCCTCAACAGCTCCTTTTGATGCCTTTGAAAAAAGAGGATTTAAAAGCCGAGTCAAAGGAATTAAAGAATATAACCAAGTCTTTGACAATGGCAAAGGTAATTACAACTTTTCTTATGGAAGACAAAAAACCACAATTAGTTAAAAAATATGTCAGAGAATCAAAGTTATACCAGAGACAAAATTAGAAACTTAAACCAAGTTAGCAATCTAGAAATAGACAGATATTACCGAGTTCCTGAGCCTGACCGCGGATACCAACACTGCGATAAGTGCGGAAATGAAATTGAAGTCGGAGAAAACTTTTATACTGTTTCTATCGGCGAGGGGGAAACTATTTGAGGTAGTAGTTGAGGATTATGCGAGGATTGTTTAATAGTATGAGGAGGGAGTCCAAGATAAAAGATGAAGCGGAAATTCTGTGTAAAATATAATAATAACGAAATAGCAAAATGAAATACAGCGTAAGTTTAATAGTTAAAGATCTAACCGCGGAGGAAAAAGAGCAAGTCTTATCCATAACAAAGCAAGTAGCTGAGAAATTGGAAGAAAAAAGCATCAACCATACTTTAAGTAGTGGTTTTTATAAACCAAAAGCAAAAGTAGGCAAAAGTGATGGCCAATCTGAATAAGTTAGTAGCAATAATTATTGGAATAGGAATAATTTGCGGAATTATTGTTTATTGATTAAAAAAGAAGATAAAATTTAATAATAAACAGAGCAAATTTCCTAATTGCCAAGATTGTTCGGACTGGCAAAGAGTGAAAAGTAATAAAAAAACAGATCATCAGTGTCAAGAACACCAAAGTAGTTGCGAAGAAAGTAGTTGTTGTTCTCATTGCAGGCAGCAAGTACTGATAGCAGAAAATCATAATCATCGACATGGCAAATGCCACCAAGTAGAACACAAACGCCACGGGAGAAATCAACATCACCTAGGGAGTTATAAAATAGGTCAAGTGTTTTTAACACCGATAATTCTATCAATAACACTTTTGGTTTTGATAAAAGAGACGAAAATGCCTAAAAATGCTAATTAGATATTAAAAAAACATTTTGGCGGTTAAGCCCCATCCTTTTTTGGCTCCTCAAAGTCATGCTTTTTCGCCACACCCTTCGAACTTTGCCATTTGTTTGGGGTATAATGCCAGTTAGAGATGCTCTGGAATGCAATCTTTAACCTTGTCATTGTTAAAGATTGGCAGGGCCGAGAGTCAATGCTAACTGAAATGAACTCCCAAGAAAGGCGGAAAAGTCGGTCGGTCGGGTCGGAAAAATCAAGCCAATTTGAGCTACAACCAAAAAAAGGAAGCGGGGGGCTTGAGGTCAAAAAAGTATTCACGGCCAAAAAGTCAAATTAATGATAATAGAGTTATATAGTAAAATAGTGTGTTATACTAATAAGAGGGAGAGGGGAGTTTATATAATACCTAGGTGTATATATGGAATATAAGAAAGGAATAATAGCGATGGATCCTAGTGGAACCAGTACCAGTAGCATATTTTACTATGAAAGTTGGAATAAATGAGAAATTTTTAGTTATAATGACAAAGATTGACTAAAACAAGTTGAAAATATGGAGAATTGGTTAGATAAATTAAAACCAAAGACATTATTAGTAGAAACTGGAAAGTTATTTAGAAATCAGAAGTATAATCATAATATGGTTGACTTAATAAGAACAGTAGGAGCATTAGAATATGTGGCTAAGCAAAGAACAATAAAATACGAGGGAGTAAGCAACCAGTACCGGGATAAATGAGGAGATAGAGTAGCCGACAAAGGTGATATAGCAGGATTGGAGTTAAAAAAGATCCAGGGCAAGATGGGGGCTCCGCGAAAAGTGTGGTTTTTTAAAGATAGAGAACTAAATGAGCATGAAAAAGATGCAGTTTTAATATTTTATGCCTGATGGGTGAAGAGAAAGGGAAGAGAATGACCATTTTCGAGGTAAAGCATGAGGAAAGATAGTAGATTTAACCAAATTAGAATAAAAATTAGAGTAATAATCAACAAATAAATGGATTATTGAACAAATCGGAACCAAATAATTACTAAATTTGCTACTATCCAAGAAGTAATTGAGGGAACTGGTAAAGATGGGGGCAAATTTTTGATACTTAAAACTAACCCAGATAAAATTTTTGTATTTGATAAACATGTACCAAAGAAAGAGTGGGGAGAATTAAGAGAAGGAAGTAGTTACGAGTTAGAATTAAAAGAGGGAAAAAATGGTAACAAAAAATTAATGGGATTTGCTGGGGCAGTTAGAATAACTATAAAAAGCGATGGAAAGTTCGACATACAAAAATAAGGAAAAAGAAACACCAAAAAAAACTTTATCTAAGGCTAAGCATAGTGCCGAGGAAATAGCAGAGGCATTTTTATCGCTAGACCCAGAGAGAAAATTTTTCACTAAATCAGCAAAAGGAAACTTCCGGCTACAAACTATGCTTCATATTTCGCAAATGCTTTATTGTTCCAAAACCGGCAAGCCTCTTTTTAAAGACCAAATGACTGCTTATCCTCCTTTGTGGTATAAACTGAATAAGAAAAGGAGAGAAGAGTTGGATAAAATAATGCGTGACAAAGAAATCAAGGATAAAAAGCCTTTAATTTATAAACTATACCAAGAACAAGGGATTAAATTTACTCCTATTAATAAAAGGGATTTTTGAGGAAAATATAACAAAGAAAACAAATAAAAACTATGAAAATGTTAATGTACGTTAGGAAAACCTACAAAACGAATTGCGAGCAAGGACATGAACATGAAATTGAGGTTAGATATAATTTTAAGACAAAAGAACTCAAAATAATTAACTATACAGAGTGAGAAACCTTTAATGAACATAGAGAAAATTATGGATACAGTTTAGGCTTCCAAGAAAAAGAAGACTTTGAAGAAAGTTTGAAAAGCGAATACGACAAAAAAGAATGCTCACTATTTAAAGAATATCCGAAAATAATAAGGAATTGAGACAATTGAAGTTTAAAAAGTGGTTTAATTAAAAAAAGTGGCGACAAATTTAACGAAGTGGATCAGGAATATATTGAAAAGTTTAAAAAAGATGTCAGTCTGGCCGACAAAATAATAACTTGGGAGCATTATAAAGAATTCGGACAACATTCTGTCTTTTGTTTAGGAAAGCCATGCCAAGGCTATGAGAAGATAACTGAACAGACTTGCGATAATTGTAAAGAGGAGTTAGCAAAAAGTAAACAATGGGAAGAAAAATATAGCAAAGCAAAGAATAAGATGACGCGAAAAACCCTAAGAGAAATAACAAAATTAGCCAAATAATGTTAGCGAGAAGTATTCGTAAACAGTAAAGGATACTTAGAAATTAAAAAACCATAAAGGAAATAGTGAAGAAAAATTAAAGAGATAAAAAGCAATCAATAGAAAAATACATGAAACGATAAAAGTAAATGAAATTTACAACAAAACAATAAGCAAAAAAATAATTGATAGAAAATCAAAATGGAAATAAAAAAAGAAACTCAAAATTTACCAAAAGATAAGAAGAAAATATGCCGATTTTGTGGCAATAATAACTACGAGGAAAAATACGCTAAGCATTTAAGAAGCAAACATAGTGACATAATGAAAAAAAGAGAAGCAATTAAAAACCTAGTCCGAACCTTTAATAGCGAGCAAATAACCAGAGCGACTGAATTTTTATTGCAAATTAGAAAAGAAGCAGAAAAAAATTAATTCAAGATACTATGAATAACCAACTAGATTTAAAGATACAAAATTTAAAAAAAGAAGCAAAAGAAAGACTTGAAGAATTAATAAGAATAAGAGGTCAAATTTTGGCCAACATTGAAGCACGAATAACTCCGCATGAAAAAGATTCCAATGCACTTGTCATAAGCGAGAAGGATCTTAATTTGTTAATAAGAGATTGAAAAGCACGAACCCAAGAAAGTGTGGAAAGAATAAAAAAACTTGAAGCAGAAAATAAATAGTTAGTTAAAATTTTAGCATGTCACGCAGCCGAGCGTGCGTGATAACCTCATAAAAACAAACATTAAAAATATGAACCAAGAGCAAGAAATAATCTTTAAAGAAGCCTTTCTAGTGAGCAATTTCCTCATTTTATGATGTACTCCCCGAAGAAAAGAATTACTAACAACTGAACAAAAAAAAGAATTAGAGGAAAGGTTATGGAAAAAAAATACTCTAGACGCCCTAGTAGTAGAAAAATTGGGAGAAGAGGCCTGATACAAGCCCCCCAGTGAGAGAATACAACTAAAAAGTGAGGATTATCAGAGAATAAGTCAACTAACTCAAGAAACAAAAGAGTTTATTCGCCAATTAGAAAAGGGAACTGAGTGGGAAGGACAAATTGACAAAGAAATAATAGCCAATCGTCACAAAACTATTCGACAATGGATAGAGGAAAATGCCCAGAAATAGGAAAAGAACCTAATTTTTTATACGATCCAGTGAAAAAAGAGTGAAAAACAATTTGAGTGCTGACCAAAATCACTAATAAGAGCAACAATCGGTGCTAAATAGTAGTAATGATGAAATTTTGATATGATCAGATTTATTATCCAAGAGAAAAATCACATAATTTTAAACTAAAAAAATAGTATGGAAATAGAAAAAGTAAAGAAAATTAGAGTAGAGTATACAGATGGAAAAAAATATCCTGATGGTCGACCGATGGGATTTACCTTTGCTAGTTTCTTTTTATGTTTTTGCGAACTCTGCCACAATGATAAGTATGTAGATGAGGATGTTTTTAAATATCACCAGCAAATAGAAAACGAAAAAAAGGAAAAGAAATTAACTGAAGAAAGCGAAAGAAAGAAATTTCCTGCTCTTTGAGCCAGGCTTGATAAACTAGAAGAAAGAATTAGACTCGTGGATTCGAGAGAAGATTATGATCCAAATCCAGAAGAAGATGAAGAACTTCACAATTACAAAGAATGTGGCAGTGATTAAAAAAAACGAAAACTTATGAACCTATTTCTAATAATCTGTTCTCAATGCCAGCAGGAAACAGGATTAGCCACTACTAATAAGAATTTTCTTGCCGAAATGACTTATAAATGTGAAAAGTGCCAGCATGCGGGCAAAGGAATTGATAATTATCGAGAAATAGACAGAGATAAGTATTTAGAGGGATTTGAATTAGTAGAAGGAGAGGAACCTAACACAAAATAGAGGCAATTATCGTTTATTTTTTAAAGAAACTGTCATTGGGGGGGGGGGGGGGGAAGAATTCCATAATTTGCTATAATCTTGATAGATTTCCTCGTAGGAGTTATGGATATAGGAAGAAGTAGTTTGAATATCACTATGCCCTAAAATTTTTTGAATAGTTGTTAAACGTATTCCTATTTTATTAGAAAGAGTAGCAAACGACCTCCGAAAAGTGTGAGGACTGATTTGCTTGTTGAGACCGGCTTTTTTAGTTCTCAAATAACAAATTTCCCGAACTCGATTGTCACTCATTTTTTCACCCCGATAATTTTTAAACAAATAATCAGAATTGCCGTTGAAATGTTTGGCTAAAAAGGGAGGAAGAGGAATATGTCTGATTTTATTTCCTTTACCACAGATTTTCAAATTACCATTTTGATAATCGCAATGTCGAATGTTAATTAATTCACCTACCCTTACTCCGGTATAAAGCAAAAACTCTAATATTAAATTATCTCGTTGATTAATGGCAGTGCTGGTTCTGGTTTTGGCTTGCTTTAACTTTTCTAGTTCATCTTCAGCAATAGTGTCAAAAAATTTCTGGGTAGTTTTTGGAATAATCTTACTAACCAACTCTCATTCAATTTCTACCCTTTCGAATTTAGCATAACAAGTTAAAACGCAATGATGAAGGCGTAAACTAGCAGGCTCATACTTCACTAAATTTTTTTTAAAAAAAATAATAACTTCATTAGTATTTAACTCCCTATCTCCATATTCCCGTAAACTTCAACTGTATTTTCTAATAGTATGAGGAGATAGATTTCTCTCTTTCAGCCATTCTTGAAACTTTTTTAAATGTATTTTTACCATATGTCATATACATTTATTTTTATATATTATTATTTTATAATGTTTATTATGGTGCACTATAAAGTCTAATATTGTGAACTTTGGGAATGAGAAAAAGTAGAAAGACACAAGACTTCCTCTCCTATTGATGCAAGTAGTAAAAATAATATTATACTTTATTCATTATTGTTTTTAAATTAATGTCAACTGCTAAAAAACCTATAACTACCAAATGTCTTAACTGCTGAAAACGAGTTGTCGTTAAATGGGTATGTGGTTCGCGTGGTTATAGCCAAAAAAATCATTGAGGTTATTGAACTGAAACTGAAGAAAATGAAGGTTATTACACTTGCGACCAATGTTTATTTCGTCTCTATCACAGTTATAAGTGAGAATTTCGCCGCCTGATTCCCAATAAGAAAAAACAAACTTTGCTGAGGCAATATATTCTTAATGGAGATATTAAAGGCAAAATCGAGCCGATGTTTAGTAAAGTGAGAAGAGAAGAAATAAGTAGAATAACCAATGCGGAACGCCAACCGAAACACGAGAAAAAAGCAAACCTAGTTAAAAACTGACCAAAAAGACCAACAACGAAAATAAAGATTAAAAAATATATATAATAAGCGATGAGAAATTTAGGATGAAAAGTTGGTGCCACTCATAATGCATAAAATTATATATATAAATGTGTTTAAAATGCTTTATAGATTTTGAAAATCTTATCTCTTTGAAAATTAAATAGGTATTAATTTCTGAGAAAAGTGTTAAAAAAGGTGCTGTGGGAACAGGTATTACCACTTGGTTATAATCACCAGTGCAATTTTAATTTTTACTTTTCTTATCTTTGTCTAACTTAAAATATCCATGTCTGTCTATTACAATACTCAAATTAAATGTTAATTAGGCAGGTTAGAGGATGCCTGACCTCTCGGCCTATAGCCTTTATTATGATTAACTTTTTTTTATGTTAACATAATATCTATTTTTCTAGCCAACAAAAAACTGTCCGGAGAGAAGCAGACTAATTAATTTGCTCTCTCTCTCTCTCTCTCTCTCTCTGGCTTTTTATCATCCCGAGGAAGGCATAAGACAATTATTCATCCTATCCAATTTAAGAAAAGTGCTAGTAGAAGACCTACCACACCTTTTCTCCGATAAGCCCAAATCATCATTCAAATTGAAAAAGCAAGATACAACAAAATATCGTTCAGCCAACCGGCCCAAGTTCATTAAAATTTACTCAATGTTCCATATTATTAATTTTTATATTATTATATTAAATTTTAAATTCTCTCAAAACCGAACGCAAAATTGAAAATACCAAAAAAATAAGTCCTCGATAAATTAGTATGGCTTAACTCAACATATTGCTATGCTTACATTTGCCACCTATCAACCTCCTAGTCTAGAAGGTATCTTACTCCTTACGGATGGGAAATCTTATCTTGAAGTTAGTTTCGCACTTATATGCTTTCAGTGCTTATCTAATCCCGACGTGGCTATCCAGCCGTGCCCTTGACAGGACAACTGGTACACCAGTGGTCAGTCCACTCTGGTCCTTGCGTACTAAGAGCAGATATTCGCAAATTTCCTACGCCCACAACAGATAGGGACCAAACTGTCTCACGCATGTAAACCCTTATTTTTCAATAAGGCATGGACTATATCTTCATCCTACTTAATCAGCAGGAGTCGGCGTTTTATATTTTTTCTCACCAGAAAAAATATCTCGGGTTTTTATTCCCTCAGTCTCTACGGGGAATAAATTATGTTTTTCTAATTCATTTCTCACTACCAAAGCAGTTATGGTTCTTTTTTTCGAATCATTGAGAAATACCATCTTATCAACCAATCCGCACAACTTTATAAAAGTCGGCGGATTTTGTAATTTTGACAGATTATTAATAATATCTAAAACCAATTTAGCCTGCTTTCTTTTCAATTGTAAGTGTCCTTGTAAATTTTCCAAAATAATCTTAACTATTTGATTTCCTACAATGGCATACTCCGAAATTCCATCAGGACGTTTCCGGATCGCTCCATAAACTAATTTCTTTTTTAACCACAGGAGAAACCAATGACGATTAGATTTTTGAAAAAAGGTTATACTTACTCGAATTTGAAATCGCAGTTGGTAGTTCGGACGGCGAACTATTTGGGCATTAATACACCCATCACCATCCAAAAAACCTGCTATATAAGACTTTTCTTGGTCAGAGATATCCTTCATTATTATAATTTATTCTTCCCTCGGTATTACCATTTCAGCCAGTTTGTAACTGAAGAAGGCTTCACCGATATTAGCCGATACTAGACTGATATTACTATCAATCAACGCAGTGTTCCTACGTTCTGAACCCAACTCACGTACCGCTTTAATGGGCGAACAGCCCAACCCTTGGTAGCTTCTTCACCACCAGGATGCGATGAGTCGACATCGAGGTGCCAAACACTTCCGTCGATGTGATCTCTTGGGAAGTATTAGCCTGTTATCCCCGGGGTAACTTTTGTCCGTTTAGCGACGGCCTTACCACTAAGAACCGCCGGATCACTAAGTCCTGCTTTCGCATCTGTTCGACTTGTTAGTCTCACAGTTAAGCATCCTTTTGCCTTTACGCTCACCGTAGGATTTCTATACCTACTGAGGATACCTTATGAACACCTCCGTTACTTTTTAGGCAATTGTGTTAATTTTCTAATTTTTCGTTCTGGGGGAAATTTGTAAAGCATTTCCGGAAGCAGAAAAGGATAAATTAATTCTCTTAACCGAAAATAACTTTTTCCAGAAACGTAGATTTGCCAACCTTCTTTTTGTTTTCTTGGTCAGCAACCTAGAACAAATTTTTTTTGCAGAACATTACATAAAAATTTTACTTCGGGCAGGGAAAATCCTTGGGTGTTAAAAATAACTCCTTTTGATTCCTTACTTTTAATTGAACCATCATCACTATATCAGTAGGCTAAAGAACGGGCAGTAATTAATTTTTCGATTATTTTAGGAATAATCTTTTTGCCCTTTTTATAGAATTGTTGTCCATAAAATCTTAATTTGCCATTACCAACAGTTTGGAAACCAAAATTTTGACTATTTCGTTTAGTGATTATTCGGGGTGGAGATAAAACTCATTTTAAAAAGACTTTGTATTGATGAGTTACGTATCCTTTTTGTTTAATACTATGCTCAATTTTCAATCTTCAAGTTTTTCCATTGTTTTGAGTTTCTAAATGTCCATCACCCAACAATTTACCAACTAGTATTTCCCGTAATTCCGTAGTTAATTTTAAATTTTTGTTCATAGAAAACCCAAATTTTTATTGAATACACTCATATCTGTATTTCATTTGGCTTTATATCGCTATAAAGTTCAGACTATATCATCATCCATTAAGGATGTTAGCGTTTAGTCGTTGAGGGGTCACTAAGACTTCCCTGCTGGTGGTCTGCACCGAAAACATTTTCACGTTTTTTAATTCGTAGTTTTGGATACTTCACTTAATCCTGGCATTAGTAACGGTACTAATAACCAAGTTAAAACAGATGTTCCAGCATATAGCTAAATTTGCCTTCTACCTTACGATAGAAGCGCCCCATTACAAGGCGACCGCCCCAGTCAAACTACCCACCAAACACTGTCCTTTTGGCTGTAAACCAATAAGTTAGAATTCTCCGCTAATTAGGGTGGTATCCCACCGACGACTCCGCTCGAGCTGGCGCCCGAGCCTCACAGTCTCCCACCTATCCTGTACAAACTAGAGAAAAACCCAATATCAAGTTGCAGTAAAGCTCCACGGGGTCTTTCCGTCTAGTTGCGGGTAACCGGCATCTTCACCGGTACTAAGATTTCACCGAGCCTATAGTTGAGACAGTACACCAGTCATTACGCCTTTCATGCGGGTCAGAACTTCAAATGTGTTCGCTAATAGTTTCCTACTAGTTCAGACTATATCTTCACCTTATCCAATAATTTTAGAAATTAAGTTTATTAGACAATAATTTCATGATTATCTTTTACTAAATAAGGGCTGACGTATTAATTCGTTTTTCGCAAATTCTTGGCTTTCGCCGCAGTCGTTACGGGTCACAAAATTATTGTGTTCCCACGGTATTCCCATATTTTGATAGAGAACCAAAACTTAGGGTTCACCGTTATTAGTCAGTTTACTTAAACAATATTGCTACTGTTTTCAGGCAAATTCTTTTCACCTGACAAGGAATTTCGCTACCTTTGGACCGTTATAGTTACGGCCGCCGTTCACTCGGGCTTCGATTCAGAGCTTCACCAGTATCTTACTACTGGCTAACCCCTCCTCTTAACCTTGGAGCACTGGGCAGGCGTCGCCCCCTATACATCCTCTTACGAGTTAGCAGAGAGCTGTGTTGTTGATAGACAGTTGCCGGTGCCTCTTCACTGCGGCCTAGGTTGCCCTAGGCACCCCTTCTCGCGAACTTACGGGGCTAATTTGCCGAGTTCCTTAACTATAGTTTGCTCGCTGGCCTGTGGATATTCTCCTCGACCACGTGTGTTCGTTCTAGGTACGGGTGTCATAATTATATCTTTAGAAGTTTTTCTTGGAAGCAAAGCGTTCGGATAATTCGTTGCCTACCCATCATATTTCAAGGTTAAACCGGGCGGATTTGCCAACCCGGACCTCTTTATACTTGGACCAGAATCAATAACTGGTTTATCTTAGCTGACTTCGTCGCTCCATCAGTAATTATGGCGAGTACAGGAATATTAACCTGTTATCCATCGGCTACGCCTTTCGGCCTTGCCTTAGGCCCCGACTAACCCAGGGTAGACGACCTTAACCCTGGAAACCTTGGTCATACGGCCAGAAGGATTCTCACCTTCTTTCGTTACTCACGCCGGCATTCTCACTAGTAAAAACTCCATCAATCCTTACGGTTTAACTTCAATGCTTTTACTACGCTCCCCTACCGCTAGTTGGCAATAGAAAAATTAAATCTCTGATTTGATTTTCTTGGAAAGAAAAATATTAACTATGGCAATTTGGTACTAAGTACCCAATTTTTGCCATTAATTAACAACTTTTTTATTGCCAACTAGCCTATGGCTTCGGTATAGTATTTGAGCCCCCTTACATTCTCGGCACTGAGAGACTAGACTAGTGAGCTGTTACGCACTCTTTAAAGGATGGCTGCTTCCAAGCCAACCTCCTAGCTGTTTTAGTCTCACAACTTCCTTCTACACTTAATACTATTTAGGGACCTTAGCCGATAATCTGGGCTGTTTCCCTCACGTCCATGGAGCTTATCCCCCACAGACTGACTACCAGATAATAAACAATGGTATTCGGAGTTTAATTAGAGGTGGTACCCGGTTAAAGGCCCTTCTCTATTCAGTGCTCTACCCCCACTGTTTTCACTCTGGCGCTAGTCCTACAACTATATCGGGGAGAACCAGCTATCTCTGGATTCGATAGGCATTTCACCACTAACCACAAGTCATCCGAGGTCATTTCAACGAACACCGGTTCGGCCCTCCATGAGGTTTCATCCTCACTTCAGCCTGCTCATGGTTAGCTCATCCAGTTTCGGGTCTATAATCATTGACTAATCGCTCTATTAAAACTCGCTTTCGCTACGGCTCCATTTCTCAAGAAACTTAACCTTGCCAATAATTATAACTCGCCGGCTCATTCTGCAAAAAGCACGCCATTAGGCTTTAACGCCCTTTGACTTCTTGTAAGTGTTATGGTTTCAAGTTCTATTTCACTCCCCTTCCGGGGTTCTTTTCAACTTTCCCTCACGGTACTAGTTCACTATCGGTGACTAATGAGTATTTAGCCTTACGGGGTGGCCCCCGTGGATTCCCACAAGATTTCACGTGTCTCGTGGTACTCAGGATGAAATGCAGAGGGCTATTGATTTCGAATACTGGACTTTCACCTTCTTTGGTGTGGCTTTCCAACCACTTCTTCTATCAATAACTTTGATAACTCTTGATATTAAAATCAGCATTTTCCTACAACCCCAATTTACAAACATAATTGGTTTGGGCTATTCCCAGTTCGCTCGCCACTACTATGGGAATCACTAATTTGTTTTCTTTTCCTCCGGATACTAAGATGTTTCAGTTCTCCGGGTTCGCTTCTAAGTATTATGAGACTCAGACCTTACCACATTACTGGTAATGGGTTGCCCCATTCGGATATTTCCGGATCGCAGCCTATTTTCCGGCTCCCCGAAACTTATCGCAGGATATCACGTCCTTCATCGCCTATTAGTCCCAAGTTATCCACCATACACTCTTAGTAACTTAAATTTTCGGTAAAATCTTTTTTTGCGTTCAGTTTTCAAAGAAAGAGAGAGTAAAAAAACATATACCTCTCAAAATTAAGCAGCCAAAAACAACCACTTACTTTTCAAAAGTATATATTATTATTTTTATATTTATAGAATGACGAGATGAGGCAACTTTATATTTATTGAATTTTTATATTAGTAGTAATCTCTTTCTGTTTTGTCGGCTTGTTTCTTTCTCGTAAACATTAAAATTTCTTTTTTTTCACCATTCATCGCTTTTGAATTCTTGGGGGATATCTGCTCTTTCTTTGTATTCACCAATATCGGTTTCTATCTTATATTCTTTTTCCAATATATCAAAAAACTCCTCGCGAAGCCCCTTTGGCAATTTTTTTCCACACCACGGACAATAAGATATTAAAAGAACAGCCCCGCCATACTCGTCCTTGATATCAATAAAATATTCTCTAAATTGTGGAATATAACCAAAATGTAATTCACATTCACCACTATTGTCCTCTCCCAATAGGTTCTCATACATTTCCTCACAGCAAAAATCTTTGCGGTCAAGATTGAGATATTTGTCTACATAAATAAACTCATCGCAATCCTCATATACTTGGCTACGCTTAACATGAGATTTTTTGCTAATTCTTTCTGCCATTAATGAAAAAAAATTACATTTTGCCTTATTTTTTTGTTATTTCCCCTATAATTATTTTCTAAATCACTTTCTTAAAGTTTCTCTGTAATCGTTCTAATTCCTTAACTTCGGGCATTTTCTCCAAGTATTCCGCGATTTCCCGAGTTAATTGCTTGTGTTCTCCCCCTTCATGGTCGGCGGCTAAATCGAAATCAAAATCGCCTAATAGACAGTGGGCTAATTCGTGTGCCATAGTGTCCAAAAAATCGGAGAAGTCATGAACTTGGGGAACCGATATTCCAACTAATCAATGAGAGTAGATAACATGTAAATAAATGGTTTTGCTAATAAAGTCTAAATTGCCCGCAGTCTCTTTGCCGAGGTGGGTTCTCCCTTCCATTATAACTTATTTCTCAACCACCAAAACGAATATAAGAACTAGCGTAAGCCTGAAATTCTTTTTGGTAAATTTTGGCTAATCTTTGCCGTTGATAGTGATAAACTAAATTAAGTATAATGTTCGATAAAGACTTCCACAATAATCTATTTTTTTTTGCTTCGGGCTATGTCTTGGCTCGTGCAAATTATGTCTACACTGCGGAGTTCGGGTCTTCCGGATTTTCTTCCTTTTTTTAGTTTATTTATTTTGGCTTGAATGCTATTTATTAATTTGTCGGTTTCTGTTAGTTTTTTTCTTGCTACCATAATGAATGATTTTTTAGTAAATAGTTTTTTTCAAAAATCCTTTTTAGAGCATTTTTTACACTTTACTATTCGCAAAAAAATTAGGGAGAGAATTATTTCCCCTCCCTTTTTCAACTGCCTCAATTAACTTATCAACTTTATTTTAAAAAAATATCATCAACGATTATTTATTTCGCTTATTCTTTCTCAACAGCAAGTAGCCAATAATTCCGGCTGAAGCCAAGATTACTGAACCACCAATCACATACGGCAGCGGACCTTTATCATCTTTGTTTGGAGCACCAGTAGCACTAACTTCATTCATTAACGCTTGCGATTTATTAATCTGGTCTTTAATTTCGTTTACCGAAACCGCTTCACTGTTTTTAATCAATTTTTCGTTATGAATTATTTGTTGTTCCAATTTTTCACTATCCGAACCGGACGAATTATTTCTCAACTTTCGCAATTCCTCCAAAACTTCGGCTAATTGTTGCTTAACTTCTGCTAATTGTTGACGTAATTCGTGGTTTTCTTTTCGCAAGTGGGAATGATTATCATTTTTCACTAGATCGCCCGAAACATGCTCCATTTCACACTTGTTTCATTTATCAGTACATTCAGGACTACAAAAATGCGTTTTATGTTCTTTGCAAACAAAATAACCGTCGCGAGGATTAATCCATTTATTACACTCACCGCAATGTGCTTGTAGAAAATTTTCTTTGTCTGGCAATGGTGGCACTGGAAAATTATTAAAATTCGGCTCGTTATTTCCGTTTAAATTATCTTTTATGCGGTATACTCAACCAACCGCTAAACTATTAGGCGTGATTTCTCGGTAATGCTCGTCTCATTTTATTCTATCCATGGCATTTTTGAACTCACCATCGCCAAAAACATCCGTCCCGCGGTTTCCTTGATAATTTTCCCCATAATACCAATGCCGGTGGCTATAACTATAATCCTTTCCTTCCTCAAAATGACCGCGATAAGCATAATCTTTGCCGTCGTAGGCTTCTTGGGTTATTCGCACTGGCACTCTATCATCCCGAAACATACTTCTCAACTTATCATTGTGAAAATTATAGGTTTTTATGTTGGGTTCATCGGTCGGAGAAATTGAATAATCTTGTCCCTCTTTAAAATCTTTTAGTTTGTTTTCGATATCGTATTTATTGAATATATTGTTATTTCGGTTCATACTCTGTATAATTTTTTAATGTATCGTATTAATTTTATTAAATTACAGAGAGAGAGAGAGAGAGAGAGAGAGAGAGAGAGAATTTTTGCCTCTTCCTCAACTTCTCTTCCCACTCCCTCGTTTTATTTTTGCTACCTCTTACTTTTTATATTCTTCTTTTATTATGACAGAGAACTAAAGCCGGTAGCCCGGCATCCAGTATTAGCAGACTAGACAACTGTTCCCATTCACTTTTTCGACCAAAAATAATTAGGAGTAATTGGGATTAGGAAACTAACTATTTCGGGTCTTTCCTATCAACTTTTTCTCTTAACTTCGTCATCATTAATTTATTTATTATTACTTTTTAAAAGTGCTCGTAAATTGCCAGCCCCAAAATTTACTTTGCCTACTTCTTTCATGCGAGCTTTGCCTTTTTTTTGTTTGGCCCAGAGTTTCATTTTTCGGTCTAAAGCCCCACCTCCATGAATCCGAGATATAACATTTTTTTTTAAAGCTGGTAGGGTCTCTCGGGCAATTACGTGGTTGCCATCAACAGCCTGAATCGGAACGGGAAAATTTTGCCGATTCAGAGTCATTTTCAATTGTTCGCAGGTGGTTTTAGCACGTCCATAGGCCGAACTTCGGTGTGCTAAAAAAGATAAATCGGGAATTAATTGATTATTTAATAAAATGTCTATTTTCACAATATCACTAGGTCTAAACCCAATCATTTGATAATCAAAAGAAGCATAGCCGTGAGAAATTGATTTAATTTTATCATGAAAATCGAGAATAAATTCGGCAAAAGGCAAATGATAATTCAACTGATAGAGCGAGCCTGTTTTTCACTCTTGTGATTGACAAATACCCCGTTTGTCTTGGCATAATTGAGAAATCTCTCCCAACTGCTCCTCGGGAGTAGCAATATTTAAATTAATAAACAATTCTTCAATAATTTTCATTTTATCCTTGGTCGGTATTTTTTGGGGGTTGTTAACTTCTATCGTTTCCCCACTAGATAAAATTATCTGATAATCAATACTCGGCGGAGTAATAATAATTTCACAGTCATACTCTTTTTCTAATCTCCCTTTAATAATTTCTCGGTGTAATAAGCCTAAAAATCCGCCTCGTAGACCCGGGCCGAGTAATTGGGAATCAATGGGTTCTAAACTCAAACTGCTATCTTGGATTTGTAATTCTTCCAACGATTTTTTGAATTCCTTATAATGAGAACTGTCGCTGGGATATAAGTTGGAGTAAACCGTGGGCTTTACCTCCTGGTAACCGGCCAAAGCCGAAGCATTATTATTGAGGTCAAATACCGTATCGCCAACTTTTACTTCTCGCATATCCCGAATGTTGGCCGTAAATCAGCCAATTTCTCCATCTATCAATTTATCTTTCAAAATCTCCTTGGGAGTTTTTACTCCCACCCTTTCCACTTGATAAACTTTTTGGGGATTGGTGTGAAATTTAATTTTCTGTCCTTTGGTTAATTCCCCAGTAAAAATCCGCACGTAAATAATTACTCCATAGTAGCGGCTATAAAGTAAATCAAAAATTAAGGCTTTTAACGATTCTTTTTCCATTTCTAAATTATTTTTTTATTATCTTTGTCTAATTGAAAATATTGCTTATTTATTTTTCTTTTTTCTTATCACTAGAAAGCCAATACCTAATGCCAAAACGGCCAAAATTGTTATTCCGGCAGTCATTAACTTCTTATTTCCACCAGAAGGAGGAGAATTGTCACTATTTTTTGGTGGGTTAGGAGATGGAGGATTATCATTCTGGATAGGCCTTGGCGGTTGGTTGTCCGAACTGGTTTTTTCTCGGAGACTACTTATATCTAAATCATTTACATTTTGAAAACAAAGGGCATTATTGCTGGCTTCTCACTTTCACCGCTTAACCTTCATACTAAAAGTTTTATCAGCACTTTCGGCTAATAATTTACTGTTATATAATTCGGTCTTTATTATTCCTTTCTCAACTTCTTTTTGTCCTGGGGCAAGAGAAGAAAAAATAAAAATAATTCGGGAAATTTCTGGTATCCCCTCTATGCCAAGAGAAAAAGGCTTAACTACTAGTTCGTGGTTATAATTTTTTGGGTCAGGGTTGGCCCCTTGGGTTTTTTTCTGTTGACTAATGACTTGAAAAGTAATTTCTGCCTGCGGTCGTTCAGTTCCGACTATTTTTTTTACTTGACTAGTATCTTTTACTATTAAACCATTAAAATTTAGGCTGCCTATCTTTCGAAAATCCGGTTGATACTTTAAGTTCGAAAGAGAGACGACAAAAACATCATTAGCATCCGGGTTATTTTTAACATGATTAGCCAACGGCGAATCATCATCGGGGATAAGTAAACGAATTAGGGAATTGTCCCAGACCTGAAAATTAGATTTGGTATAGTCGGCCACGAGATATTTTTGGTTCCCGTCGGTGTGGGTTCTGGCCTCTGCTACTTCCGCCGTTTCAAAATAAAAAGAAAATTTGCCATCCATTTTTACAGAATTTTTAATTCTTAGCAATAATTAAGTTTTTAATGGTTTTTCCTGCCTCGCTTCAATTATCTTTAAATAATCTGGGTAGGAATTAGCAATATTTTCTAATTGATATAGCATTAATCGCAAACATAATTGACAATCGGGATTATTGGCAGACGGATAAATGATTATCTCAGCCGGGAGATAGGAAATTTTACAATCATTTGAATAATTTTTTTGGAGAAAGTTAACCGCCCCATTAGTAATGGCCGAAATCGCCGCACAGACGATATCCCGACCCTTTTCAGCAAAATTAGCATGGTCTTTAATAACGAGATATTGAAAATTATTTTTAGCGTCTTTTTTATAGAGAATGGTAGTCGGCATATAATTCTTGTTACAACCGTCCGCCAAACACTCCCGAGAATGACAAGCAAAAAAGAATACAATAGATTACTACTATTAAACCAATGACAACTATTATCCAAAGAATATTTTTACTCACTTCATTTTACTACGATTGCGAATTAACTCGGTAAGCAGAACAATGGGGACAAATATGATGAAGCATTTTCGTTTTTTGACAACCAGAACACTTGATTAAGGGCTGATTAAGAGCCTTTTTGTGAAAATTTCAATTTTTCGGTCCACGACCTTTTTTAGTGCGAGTGGAGGATTTTCTCCGAGCGGGAACTGCCATATTAATATAATTTTATTATTTATAGTTTATTTTTTCTTTTTTTGCCTTAATGAATCTTGACCCTCTTTCTCTATTTTACTTTATATCCCACCGTTTTTTATATTGTTTTTTTTCTTTCTTATCAAAATATTTTTTAAGTTCTTTTCATGCTTCCTTATCGGTAATGGTTTTTCCTTTTTTCTCTTTTCACTCAATCTTTTCAACATCTTTCAAATCCTCCATATCCTCTAAAAACTCAAATAGTGCTTCTACAATATAAGAATTATATTGTTCTCTATTTCAAATTTCTTTCATAATTTTATCGAACTTTTTACCTCTTTTAATTTCCTCTTTATGCCATTCATCGCGGTTCTTTTTAGTATTTTCTTTAACTTCATGCTTTCTTTTATCTCATTCCATATACTCCATATACCTAATTAACGCCTCTTCAAAAAGCAATTCACGCGGTTTTTTAAATATTTTTTCTAACTTGGCAAATTCTTTTTCTAAAAATTTTTCCGCTTTTTCAGTTAGGTTAGGTATTTTTATAGTTATAGTAAACATAATTCTAAATAGCGCCAAGTAATTTTCGCTGTTTTTTTAATTTTTCTAACCTCTCAATTCTCTCTTCCAAACGAGGGTGAGTGCGAAATAATTCCAAAAGCCCCCTTTTTTTCTTTTCAGGATTGAATTTCAATAAGGACACTGAATTTGGCTCACCGGTCGCTTTGGTATTTTCGTCCTCGGTTAAGTCAATTCCGTCCACTATTCAGGACCTATTTTCTAATTCCAAAAGTTTCCGTAAAGCCGCCAGCATATCGTCAATTCCTACTATTTCAGCCCCCCTTCGGTCGGCAGCCAATTCCCTTCTGCGGTTATATCACAGAACCAGCAAAATCCCACCCAACCGCATAATAGCAGAAAGTATTTCAAAAAATATTAATTTGAAAATGAATTTGACGATATTAAGTTCGCCGGTTTCTCTCTCCTCCTCGCTGGGTTGAAATAGCCAAGAAGCAATTAAAACACGAAGCAGAAAATGAAGAACATCAAATATTCCTTGAACTACCAAAATCCGAGCGATATCGTAATGGATAAGATGAGATAACTCATGACCGACCACCCCTCTAATTTCGGAGAGACTCATAGTATTAATTAAATTGGTGGAAAAGGCAATCAATGTATTGCCAGCCGGACCAGTAGCGAAAGCATTAATTTCTTGGGAAGGATAGACCCCTACTTCGGGCATTTTTATTTTATAAATGCGGGATATTTCCCGCACCATTCGCACCACCTCTTTTAATTTAGGATTCAAATCTCTGCGGTCATCCATTCTTTTGACATTTTTCACTCATTTGGCTAATCATTTAGAAAGATAGTAGGAAAAAAGAGAAATAATAACAACAGCAACTATGGCTATAACTAAAGTAATAAAAATTCAAGTTCAAGACATATACGATTATTTTATAGGTTAATATAGGTTAAGTTTAACTTATTAATCCCTTATTTTAGCATTAAATATTTTTGCTACTTTTTCAGTAATATCTCGCAATATTTTCTCTATTTCTTTGTTTTGTAAGGTTTGGCTGGTGCTTTGAAAAACCAGATGAAAACTAACTGATTTTTTTTTGTTATTTCTTAATTCAGCATTTTGATAGACATCAAAAACATTCACCTCCTGCAAATTTGGACCGACCGTCTTTTTCATTTCTTTAATTACCTCATTATAATCAATTCTGGCTGGGAAAATAAAAGATAAATCTTTGCGGCTGGCTGGGAAATTAGCTACCGGTTGATAGAATATTTGAGGAGGGAAATCGGACAGATAATCAAATATTTGGGAGAGGGAAATTTGAGCGACAAAAACATCCTCGCTAATTTGATATTTTTGGGAGATTTGGGGGTGAATATGACCCAAAAATCCTACTCTCTTGGAGCCGAGAAATATTTCTGCACTCTGGGGTGAATATAAGTGGTCAGAGGAGATAATAGGGTTAAAAGAAAATTCTGCACCAATTTGCCATAATTCAAAAATGTTTTCTAATACTCCTTTTAGCCAGTAAAAATCAATTGTCCGGACTGATTTGTGAAGCGACTGGTTAAAAAATTTTCCTACTCCGCTCAAAACCAGCAATTCTTCCTGGTAAAAAGGACCTGCAACCACACTAATTTCAAAGAAAAAAAGATCTTTGTTTCCACGGACGAGATTATATTTTAGCGTTTTTAAATGACTGGCAATGAGCGTTTGGCGATAAAATTCATGATACTCATTTTTTGGCTTTAATAGTTGGTAAAATTCACTGCTGGATTGGAAAAGAAAATCGTTTTTCATAGCGGCCGAAACCAACGAATAAGTAATAATTTCTTGCCAGCCGTGATTAGTTAAATAAGCACGGAGGATTCTTTTTTGTTTTTCGGCTTGTTCGTTTTTACTATTAGAAGCGGCAGTGGGGGAGCCAAAAGGCAACGAGCCAATTAATTTGTTGTAATCATAAATCCGTAATAATTCCTCCAACAAATCTTCGGAATTGGCGATATCTGACCGCGACAAAGGTATTTGAACCTGATAAATATCTCCTTCTTTCTGATAGGTAAATTTTAATTGTTGTCAAATTTTTTCAATGGTTTGTTCGCTGAGAATCTGACCGACTTTTTGGGTAATAAATCCCTGGCTGATAGCGATTATTAAAGATTTTTTTTTGGTTTCCTGATACGTTTTTTTTTGCCCCTCATTTGCAATGGGAAAATTAGCCGGTTTTACTTGACAATTTAATAAAATTCCTATTTCTTGAATTAGACCTTGCCAAGAAAGCAAATCGGAGCGACTAGGGAGAACGTCAATTTCAAAATATACATCATTTTCCTTTTGAATTATTTTTGTTTCTAGGCCGTAATAAGTCAATTTTTCGGCAATTTCTTTTGGATTAACGGTTGGCAAAAGAAGATGCTCTTTTATGTATTTTCAAGGTATTGAGGGCATTATATAGAAGTTTTATTTTTTCTTAATTCTTTTTTGCGAAGAATATCAAAAAAGATAAATAACATAAATAGGTAAGTAGAAAAAAGTGAAATAAAATTCTCCAAATTTATCTCCTTGGCCTTTTATTATACACCATAAAGCCAAAATTAAAAAGAAAATAAAAGAGATAAACTGAAAAATCCTTTTTCTAGGAAAAAAATAAAAAATGACTAGTAAACAAATGAGAGAAACAATGTAAGGAGCAACGAATTTAAACCACACCCAGTGGATATTTACTTTTGGCTCAGGATTTATTGGCTCTCTATTTTCCTCATTAGACATGATTTATAGTTTTTTATTTATTTTAATTGTTAATTGGTGCGGGAGGAGGGAGTCGAACCCTCAACCTACAGATCCTAAGTCTGGCGCCTCTACCAGTTGGGCTACCCCCGCTTCTGGTGTCCGGTGGAGGGCTCGAACCTCCGACTTTCTCCTTAAAAGGGAGACACTCTACCGCTGAGTTAACCGGACTTATTTCGTTGTTTAAGAAGAAAATAATTAAGAATTATTTCTTTCCAATTCTAATTTAATTTTTTCAATTTCACTTCGGGCATTTAATCATTTGAATAAACCTCAAAATGTCAGAATTATTGCGACAATTCATGATAGAAGTCAAAAAATAAGAAGCAGAAAAAAACTGTCTTGAAAGAAACTAATAATTTTTTTTCCTGTTTCTCCCAAATCACCACGATAAGATAACAACCTTAAAGCATTGTATAGACCGTCTAAAATGAAGTTTAAAACTCCAAGCCCTATTCCGCCAATAAGCAATTTAAAACCTCGGGATTTTTGGTTCGTTTTGACAATTAACTGTTTCAACAATTTTTCTTTTTGGTTCATATTTCTAATTTTTTATTCCGTAGCCGAAAATCCAAACAATTAAGAGAACAATATTAAGAATGAAAATGACAAATATGCTTCTGATGCAAAATAATCAACTGGGAAATCATTCATGACGTTGGTTGAGCAAATGTAGAGAAATTACGGACAAACTGATTATATTACTAATTACTACTCAAAAAATTAATTTTTTATTATTCATATATTTTTTACTATGGCTGGGACGGCTGGAATTGAACCAACTATCAGGGAGTCAAAGTCCCTTGCCTTACCGGTTGGCTACGTCCCAACGGGGTTCTTATTTTTTAAGAGTAAGATTTTTTATCTGCTCTTTTAATTCTTGATTTTCTTTTTGTTGTTTCGCCAATTTCTCTCCTGTTAATTCAGTTTGAGTTCCCCGTTCCTTGGTCTCTTTGGGTTGGCATTCATTTTCAATAATTTTCTCGGCTGTTTCAATGGTGCTTTCCAATTTCTTAATTTTTTGTTCTTTTTGTTTGTTCTCTCGATTAAGTTTTAAATATTTTTCTTCAAACTGTTGGAGAATATTTTTTAATCTAATATTTTCGTGAGGTGGATTTTGTTGGTAAAAGTTATCCATGGCTTTCATGCTGTCTTGGTGGATTTCCCTTTCCTCCTTAACTTGTTCCCGTAATTGGTTTTCTACTTCTTCCAAGATTTTAATTTGGGTCTCTAAGCGGACAATTTTGGCTTCTTTATTAGGCTCATTTTGAAGAAGATAATTTAAGGCTTCTTGACTAGATTTAATTTTGTTTTTTAAGGCTTCCATTCATTTATCCCTACTTTCGGGTTCAATAAATAATTCGGGTCTAGCAATTAGCATTTTTTCAGGATGGGCTAATTGTCAGGCTTCTAGGTCATAATCAAAAGGACGGAGTTCATTTTGGATTTTAGCCACTTTGGCATCGGATCGATGAGGTCGACAATCTATTTGGTGTCATTCTCTATCCCTTATACTTTTTTTCTTAATACTTTGGGCTAGGCTGTCAGGCAAATATTCTAGTCCTTCCTCAACATCCGTTCCAGCAATACATATTTGTTTTAGTTTAGTAAGATTTTTTAAGGATTTTAAGGAGCCGTAAAAATAATTGGTTTCGGAAAGAGAGGAACTTAGGGCTCCAATTTGTAATGTTTCCAAATTAACAAACTTGCTAAAAAAGGCAATGTCAGTAGGTTGGATGTTGTTGCAGTAAATAATTAAAGTTATTAACTTTTCAGGATGAGGTAAAGTATTTAGGAAGCTAATGGAGATAAATCGGCTACTACTAAAATTTGCTCTTTCTAAATTTATAAAGTCACTTAAATCACAATCTCCATCTAAACTTTCTCTATCATGTTCTAATTTCTTTCTTTCTCCCCTTTCCTCCTTGGTCGGACACTTCTGATTAATAAACTCTTGGGCATTTTGGCATTTGATAATTTTGGTGTATTCATTTAATCCAACTATTTTAAACTTACTCTCATCAACTCAACTAGAAATGTATATTTTAAGCCTAAAATATCCTTCTCCTAAATCCAAAGTTCCTTCTAAATCTGGTTCATTGATAAGTAAAAAATCATCTTTTAAACTTGGTTCTAGCCCATCATATCATTTTTGAATATTTACCATAATAAATTATTTTTCATATATTATTATTTTAAGCACTGACCCTTTGTAAATTAATCTTATTTTTGGCTAAATAAATGCCTAATATTTTTTGTTCATCAATTTGTAATTTTTCGCTTATTTGGTTAAAAATCCGCAGTCAATCATAATAAGTATTTTTTTTATTTTCTGGGATTTCATTATTTTCTAAATTGTAAAATTGTTCGTTCTCTTCGATATATAAATTATTTGTTTTAGCAAAAAAGTCGAGTAGCAATTCGTTAAATGAAGCGTCTTTTTCTTTATTTTCGTCAATAACAGGAGGTGTATTTATTTTATAGATACCAACCAAACCTAAAAAATAGCCCAAACAATCAATTAGTTCCTCGTGGGCTTTGGTTCAATCAATTTCCGGTTTTTTGCGTCAAGCCTTAAAGGATTTTATTTCATTAGCAAATTCGCCTACTTCTACCAAAAGGGCTAATTTTAATCTCGCGACGTTGAAATGCGAGACTCATTTTAAATCAACGGGGCTTTTTTGGACAATAAGTTGGTCTAATTCAGCCTGTTTTTTGGTTAATATTTTCCAAGTTTGTGGGGTTATCATTCTAGTTATTTTTAATATTTTCTTTTGTCATAACAAGTTTTACAAACGTTTTTTTCGGTCTCAAAACCACCACCATATTCTTTTTTACAGTATTTACAAATGAAATCATTAGTTTTCAACAAAAAAAATCTCAATACAAATCAAAGTCATAAAAAGAAAACAAAAACCATTGGTAGAACCCACTGAGCCACATCTCCTCTAGAAAAAACGTGCGGTTTGCCATTTTTAGTTCCCTTAATTCCTTCCTTTTGCATGAATATCAAAATAGCCACGCCCACTCAGATAACCGAGCCTATTCCTCAATACCATTTTTCTCATTTTTTTATTCGCATATTAATTATATCATTTTTATAGTTTTTATAATGGTGGGAGGAGAGGGATTTGAACCCCCGGTTTTACTGATCTACAGTCAGGTGCGATGGGCCACTCTGCCATCCTCCCAAAAGTTTACAGATTTTTTCTTTCTCATTCTTCTTGCTGATCTTTCTTTCATAAATAATAAATAATTCCTGGCATGATACCAAAAACTAAGCCGAAAAATACTGTAACCCTTCTTATTTTGGGTCGGTATTTCTTGATACAATTTTTACAAGTTTTTTTGCCATCAACAGTGGAATAATTACAAAACTTACATTTTTGTCGTGTGTGTGTGTGTGTCGTAATTCATATTAACGTATTTTCATATTAAATTAAAATGTATAATGGTGCTGATTGTAGGAGTTGAACCTACAACCTACCGCTTACAAGGCGGTTGCTCTGCCAATTGAGCTAAATCAGCCGGTTAATTAGATTAATTTTTCTTATCCGTGTCTATTGAAATGAATAATCTTTGATTATTTCATTCTTAAAATATTCTATTTATTTTTCATATCATTGTCTATTCTAAAATATTCATATCTATTTTTCAACAATTTTAACTCTTTCTTGGATATCCTTAAACAAATGATATATGTCAATTTTGGTTAAGTCAACATAAACATTTTTTAAGTGATTAAGAGCAGGGTTATTATCCAAAATTACTTGATTTTTAGCGAAATTGCTGATTAAAAACCTTAAATGGGGATTTTCTGAATTTTCTAAATAAATGGAAAAGGGTTGAGAATCAATGCGAAAGGTTCAATTATTTTTAGTCTCCTTTTCCAACAAACTGATGATTATTTTAGCCTTTTCAGTTAGTTCTTTTTTTAATATTTCTTTATTTTGAATGGTTTTTTCTTTGCTTTCTTTGCCAGCCGTTTCTACTCAAGAAGTAATCTCTTCATTATTATTTAAAAATTCTATCTCTTGGCAGGAAAAGCCAAAATTGGTTTTTTTACATTTCAAAAAGCAAATTTTCTTTTCTCGGGAATAATTTTTCAAATATTTTTCCCCAAAAGAACAAGTAAAATTACCATCTTTGTTTTCCAAAGTAGCCTTGTAGAATTTCATGAATTGGACTTCATGATAAACCGGTTCACTAATAAATCTAGCAATTGTCTTTCACATTATATTTTATGGTAGAGTATGCCGGGCTCGAACCAGCGACCCTCTGCTTGTAAGGCAGATGCTCTCCCAACTGAGCTAATACTCTATCTATATTTAATATTTTTAGGTTATTTAATTTGTTCGCCCCCGACGCAGTTGTCTTTTCCGTTTTATTCTTCTAATTATTAAGATTGCCGTTATTATTAATAAAATACCCATTAAATAAAAGACAATTAGCAGGGGGGGATTTTTCGCTTTATCAGTTTGCTTTTTTTCATTATTATCAATACCTAACTCCGCTGCACTAATGGATTTTAATCCTTGGGATTTTAAATAATTTTTTAAGTCTTGTAATTCTGGGACAGAAGCCACCAGAATGGTTTTTTTTGCTCCTTTATCCTCATAAGTAATTATTCAGTTTTCTCCATCTAATTCTACTAATTTAATACCATTTTTTTGAAAATATTCCTTGACAAGATCAGGAATTTGTTGGGGGGGGGGGGGGGGGATTTTCCATCAGAATCATTATCATCTTTATCCTCATTTTGGTCATTAGGAGTTTGGGGGTTGCCATTTTCCGCGGGCTGGTTTTGGCTACTATCGTCAGAAATGGGCGAATCTTGGTTATTAGTTGGTGGCTCGTTTTTGTCTTTTCCTGGTTCGGGGTTGCCATTGTTGTCGTCATTTCGATTTGGTTCTCGGTTCTCGTCGTTATTAATTGGTTCCTCAGTGGTTTTATCTTTTTTCGGAATATTTGGTTCTTCTGCATTTTCTTCCTCTCATTGCCCTTTGTTTATTTTTTCAGCAATTTTTTCTCGTTGTTGAAAGTTATAATGTTTAGAATTGCCTCCGCCCATTCAATGATAACTGCTAGGTTTTGGAATAATCCAAAAGTGCTCTCCACTGCCAAGTTCTCCGTCTCCTATTCGGGCAACCAGATTAAAACTTTCTATCACACCTTCTCCATTCTTTTTTAAAGTCTTTCCAAGACAAGCATTAATGTGAGCCATCATGTCCTGATACATATTTTCTCAGGGACCAGGAAAAAGTTTGGAATCCGCACTAGTGCTGCCATTAAAAAAAGCAATTCATTTGTCTTTGTCTTTTATGTATACAGGAACAATATGAATATGAGTGTGAAAAACAGTTTGTTCTGCCGAACTTCCAGCGTTGGAATTGATAAAAAAGCCTATCACCTGCGGGTTTTTCTTTAATTTATTAATAAAATCCTGCATTAGTGGAACTATTCCTTCTTTTCAAATGGTTTCGTTCATTCCGGCGGAGAAAAGGTTAGAACTATGGTCCTTGGGAATGATTAAAGAATGCCCTCAACTTTTAGCAGTATTACAAATAATAGCAACCGCCCGGTCGTTTTCTCCGACAATTGCAAATTCACTGCAAGGAGGACAAAATGCACACCCCGCTTTATATTTAGTTGCCATGAATAAATATTTTTAACTATTTGATTTTGTGCTTTTGCTCTCCTCGGCGCAACTGACTTTTTCGCTTTTTTCTTTTGGCGTCTCGGGTGGATTTTCTTTTTTTTACTTTCTCCATGAAACGAAAATTTATAAGTTTTTTTCTTGTAATAATATTTAAGGCTTACTTCTTTTTTTCGCCCGCCTCGGCACAATTGGATTTTTGCCTGTGGCAAAAGGGATAACCCAGAATTATTTCTTTCGTTTTTTACTTAACCATAGTCCAATCAGAACCGCAATTATTAGCACTCCACCTATTCCGCCAACAATTATTCATAAAATCTTATTATTTAGTCCGGAAGATTGAGAATTAGAAGTGGGAAGAGTTTCGCCCGGCTCTTTTTCCGGTCTTCCTTCCTTATATTCAGCAATAGTAATTTTATCATTTAATCCGACGATTTTGTGAAAAGTAGGTTCTCAATATTTTCAATAGCCCAACGAACTTTCCTTAATTGGAATATTCTCTACTCCATCTAATACAAAAAAATCTTCACTTTCACTTCAAAAAATATTATTTAAAATTTTTTTTATTGCAGGGTCATTTTGTTTGGTTATTGGATGGTCAACAGGCACCATTAGATAATATTTTTGCCCATTTTCCATACCTAAAAAACTAGCATATTTTACCCCTTCCTTATTTTCGTCGGTTCTTCCTTCACAAAGAAAAAGATTTTTTTGATTGTTTAATTTTTCTTCTATTTCTTGTTTTTCTTTGGCTATTCTCTCTCGTTCCTCCTTTTGCCTTTTTTCATGTCATACTTCATTGTCCTCCTCGGTTCATTTGTTCGGTTTTTCTTGTCCTTTATTTTTGTGTTTGTCGCAATAGTAAACAAATCAACTTTTCTCTAAATTATTATCCTCCTTTTCTCTTTGACTAAACATTTCTCCCACGACTTTTGTCATTTTTTTATTTCCACGGCAGTCCTCGTCCTCAATTCAGCGAAACGAAGTTTCTTTTTTACCGCAGTCGAAACAAGTATCTTTTCCGCAATCATGGCATAATTTAGCATTATTTAAACCTCTGATAGGGAAATCCAAGTAATCATTTTTTTCCCCACATTGATTACATTTGAAATTATTTTTTGACATAATAGTGATATTTATTAATTTTACAGTGATTAATTGTAAAAATAGTTCAAAAAGCGACTATTTTCGCTTACGTTTTCTTTTCTTTCCAATTTGCCGAATAATAAAAATGATAAAACGAACAAAAAAATATAAGAGAGTGAAAAACCAGAGAGAAACCAAAACAGAAAAACGTCTCAAATTAATTCCTAAAAATTTTCCTAATGAAGTTTCGGCTAATCAGATATCAATAAGAAACGAAAACAAAAAAATAACCAATAAAAAGAGAACGATAAAAAAAACCTCAATCTTTCTTCTGGTTTTTTTAGACATATTACTTAATATTTTACAAATTCTTTTCTAAATAATTACAAAAAAGCCCCGTAAAAGTATATTTTGAATGTTTTTTTCTTTTTTTTCACCGCAAATTATCAGGAATATAATCACCCAAAAAAGGAAATTCGCCATGGTCCGCATATCGGCACAAATAGAGATTAATTTTGTTTCTATTTAATTTATTTTTACTCAACTGATAATGAAGTCTAAAAGAGGCTTGTCAGCCAATTACCGCATCCTGTAAGCCGTGTAATAATAATAATTTGATGGGTAAATTTTGGGGCAAAACCAAGTAGGGATTAATTCTCTCCAATTTCTCCCGTGAAGAATGAAGAGTTTCTTTAATCATTTTTTTCAAAAAAAAATGTTTTCAATAGTAATTTATTCCGCTTCCTAATGCCCTTTTTAATTGAGTAGAAAAGTGGTCAAAAGGAGCCTCGCAAATGGCAAAAGCCACTTCTGAATTGGCCGCTCCCGCAAAATAACTGGTTCAAAAAATTAAGGTAGCCGCTCCCATTGAAAAACCATAGAGACCAATTTTTTCCGGTCGATATTTTTCTTTTACCCAAGTAATAATATCTTGTAAATCACAGGCCTCGATTTGACCCAAAGTGGTAGCAGATTTACCCGAAAGTCCGTGATTACGGGCGTCATAAGAGACCACTTGATAACCTCGTTGGAGAGCCAAGTGCATCGTATAAAAGAGCGACCAACGATTATTGGTTAAGCCATGACAAAAGACAATTATTTTATTGTTATTTTTATTTATTAAAAGGGGGTGAAAAAGAGTGGCACCAAGTGTTAGTTCATCATAAGTAGTAACAACCTGTAATTCTTCTCGCAAACCCAATTTTTCCAAAAAGTTGAAATATTTTTGGTAAGCAACCACATTAATTTTATTCTTATTAGTTCCTTTAGTTAATTTTATTTTGTCGTTAATTATTTCAATAGAAGTTTGCACATCGGCTACGCTCGGAGCAACTGCCGAGGTAAAAAAAATCTTCCTTATACTCTTATAAACTTTTTTCAGCCAAAATCAAAATCTAAGCAGCATGGGTGAATGATATTAATACTTTTTTCATATCACTGTCTATTGAAAATATTCTTGTCTATTTTTCTTTTTATTAATTTTATTTCTCTCTTTACTAAGTTTAAATGTCCCTTCGCTTTGTTACTCTATTTCGCAGAGGCTTAATCTCAAACCCAATACAAAATAATTATTAATAATCAGAGCAATAACGAAATAAAAGAGGAATAAAGGATAAATTTCATAATCCACGCTAATCAAGCACTATTTTCTACTTTTAGTAGACCAATTCATCTTAAAAAGTCTAAAACAACAAAACAAAGGGGTAATATTAAAAATAAATCTCATCAATAAAGTTTTTTTTGCACCAAAAGAATACTAATCTTAAAATTAAACAAAACAAAAAAAATCAGAAAGAGCAAAGTTCGAAGTAATAAGCATTCAATATCTGTCCGCGGTCTCCAAACATTATTAATTATATTATTTGGTAATTTTGTTTGGCTACTACCTTGGCCGACTCTTTACCAGGAAGTTCAAAAAAAAAAAAAACAGAATTCTCTGACCAAAAGTCGACCACTGAAAATCAACACTTAAAAGCCCTTAATTAGAAAACAACAAAAGGGAAGCCGAGGAGGTGCCAGCCTCCTTTCCTTTATCCAACAAGAATTTTGCTTAAAATTAAAAAATTAATATATATATGAACGAGATTGGTATATTAGGCAACAAATGTCGAATGACACAGATATTTTCGGAGGAGGGGTTATTGATACCAGTTACTCCTATTTGGGTTGGCGATAATGTGATTTCACAGGTGAAAACAAAGGAAAAGGAAGGTTATAATGCCTGCCAAGTTGCGTTTGGTGACTGTGCGGAAAAAAATCTTAATAAACCGAAATTAGGACATTTTAAAAAAAAAAATGTTTCACCTAAAAGATATCTGCGAGAAATAAGAAACATGTCGGGATTTGCTGTCGGTTCTCCAATTGATTTATCCCATTTTGAAGTAGGAGACGAGGTTGACGTCACAAGTAATTCACACGGAAAAGGAACCGCTGGAGTCCATGAAAGATTTGGGAACAAACTAGGACCCAAGTCTCACGGAGCAGGATGACCTCACCGTCTAATAGGATCTGGGGCTGGCGGACGAGGCACTAATCAAGGTATGCCCAAAAATAAAAAAATGCCCGGTCGCATGGGAAACAAAAGAGTTACACAAAAAGCAAGAATAGCAAAAAAGGACCCGGAAAAACGCATTATTTTCCTTCGTGGGGCGGTCCCTGGTCCCGTCAAGGGATTAGTGATTTTGAAAAAAATAGACAAGAATATTTTGTCGTAGACTAAAAAAATAAAATAATAACATATGGAAATTGACATTAGAAAAGAAAGTGAGCAATTACAAAAAACCACTGTCCCTTCACTCCAAAAAATTACTCGTCAATGATATTTTTTAGATTTGAAAAATAAAATAGTAGGGCGAGAGGCCGCCGCAAAGATAGTAGACTTACTGCGTGGCAAGAATCGTGTAGATTTCACTCCCCATTTAGACTTGGGAAATTATGTCGTATTAATTAACGCTCGCCATATTACTTTTACGGGCAACAAATTAGACAAAAAAAATTATTACAATCATTCTGGTTATTCGGGCGGATTACGGACCCGAAGCACCCGCTTAATGCTGGAAAAATATCCTACTGAACTAGTTTTTAGGATTATTAGAGGTATGTTGCCCCACAATAAATTAGGAGATAAACAAGCCAAGAGATTATTTATTTTTGCTGATGAAGAAATGCTAAATAGAGATAAGAAAAAAAGATTACAAGCCCAGGAGAAAAATTTCATCAAATTAGATTAGAATTAAAGAAATAATTATCAACAAAACAAAGAACGCTATACTCTATGGTAAATGTCCAAGAATGAATTAATCAGAATTATCCTGTGAATGGCAATTGTACAAGAAAAGAGGACCAAGAAAATTGGGGCAAAAGTAGGGCAAAAATTTCCAATCTAGATATTAGTGAACAAGACTTAACTGGACCACTCAAATTAGAAGGATTTAGCAGCCTAGAAACTTTCGATTGTTCTCATAATAATCTAATTAGTTTAAATTTAACAGGAAATAACCACTTAAAAGAAATTAATTGTTCTGATAATAACCTGGCTAGTTTAGCACTTGGCAATAATTCAAATTTGACTCGTTTGGACTGTTCTTTTAATAATATTTTGAATATCGAATTTATTACTACTTTGAAATGTCCCGAAAAATTACTTTATTTAAATCTCCGCAATAATTTTTTTCGCCCCAGCAATTTGAACATATTTTCGTCTTTTTTGCAAATAAAAGAACTTTATTTAGGAACCAGCGATTTAACGAGAATAAATTTGCTTGTTTATAATCAATTTTATGGTTCTCTAAAACCCTTACAAAACTGCCAGAATTTAGAAATTTTATGTATTAGCAATACGGAAGTAAATTATGGCTTTGAATATTTGCCGAGCAGTTTGCAAGAAATTTTTTTGGCTGACGTGAGAGAAAAATTGACCGGAGAAGATTTAGGACATGCCTAAATATTAGCGGAACTGTCCCTGCTTGGTGGCAATTTTAACCAGTGAAAAAAAGAAAAAATGAAATCAGAAAAATTGCCGCAATTAGTCAGAGAAAGAGACGCTTTTCAGAGATTAACCACTCTTTGAAAAGAAAAATATGAAAATTCCCAAGTCTGCCAAGTAAACAAATTAGGAAAAGAATTTAATGTTGCTCTTAAAATATTACAAAGAGGAGCGGAAAAACAAGAAAGCAATTCACAAAATTTTCAGGAAGAAAAAGAAAAATTGGTTCAGGAAATTGCCGAATTGAAAAAGCAATTAGAGGACTTGCGAATTGAGAACGAAAATTATAAAGAAGCCAATACCTTGATTAGAGAAAAATATGAGAAACTGATGAGTGAAAATCCCCACTTACTAAATTCGGAGCAACTGGAAAATTTGTTGACAGAATCGGCGAAAGAATATCAAGCCCAAATTCAAACCAACTCAAAAAAATAAAAAATATAATGAATGAGTAAAAAGATATTAAATAATCATATGACACCAATCAAAAAAAAAAAAAAAAAACAATTTTAATAATTAGTGGGCTAGTATTAATAACCATTTTTGGTGTTGTCACTTATTTTTCTTGGCCCAAAAAAGCCACAAAGGCCGAAAGCAAAAACCAAATTACAGAGAAAAAAATTCAGCAATTACAAAGTCAATTATCCCAGATAAAAAATGACCTTGATAAGTTGGAAAATCAAACTAAAAAAACTGAATTTTCAACTCAAATAACTGAAATAGAAAATAAATTAAATAATCCGGTTGGCAAAAATCAAGGACAAGAAAAAACCGTCCGGCAGTTAGAGCAGGAAATTAAAGAAATTAAGGAGAAATTAGACAGAAATAAGCCCGACGATAATCCGAACAACAAGAGCGAAACAAAAGTGAAGTTTGTTGGCAAGACTTTGAAAGACGATAATAGTGGAGATTTTGATAAATATAAATTTTTAGAAGAGGATGCGGTGGGAAGCACGACAAATATTTTTTATGTCAATAAAAATCATCCGAGAATTAAAGAGTTGTTAAGTCAAAATAAATTACAAAAAGATAAAAAATTCACCATTCGCTATGGAAAAGTGGATGAAAAATCTGATAGTGGTTTTTTGTTTACTTTTAATGAGTTTAATCAGGAATTAGAAATTATTGAAATTAATAATTCACCGTCCGATAACCCCAACCAAAATGGACCAACGGAATATGTTGCTACCAAAATAAATGACAATATATTTAAATATCAGTTTGTCATTAGCAGTGTGAGACAAGAAAAATTAAGTTGAAAAATCTTTATCGATCTTTTGAGGTTCAAAGACATAGGATTTTTCCCGGCATTCCAAGGAGCATTAAAAGATGCCAACTCTAAATTCCCAGCCTATTTTTGAAAATGCCCGCCAGTATCAAAAAATACTCTTGATAAACCTTTCGAGTTTGTGGTAATTAAATCACAGAGTTTAGCCGATATTAATCAAGATTATTCCAGTTTTCAAAAGCATTTTGATAAAAGCAGTAACATTAATGTAGTAAGTTTTCCTAGTCCCAGTGGTAATATATTAATTTCTCCTATACCAAAAAAAAGCGCTGATTATAAAAATATTAGTCAATTTACTAAAAATTCTTCCGACGAACAACAACAAGAACTTTGAAAAGAAGTTGCTAATAAGTTAATAGAAGAATTAGAAAAGGATGCTGATTCTCCCCGTTGGTTAAATACTGAAGGGTTGGCGGCTCAATATCTCCACGTGCGAATTGATAAAGGCAACAGATTTTATTCAAATTATCCGGAATATAAAAAATGAGAATAAAAATATTTTGAAGGCTTTTTTTCTAATTCAGCAATTTCCAAATTTTAGTGGAGCAGAGTGCTAAAACTATGTTTATATGAGTGAAAGTGCCTTTAAACAAAATTTTCCGAGCAAGCCCAAAAATAGATTTGAATTTAATTTCCACAACAAAGAGGTAATTTTTGAAATCGACCAGTTGGCAAGCAAAAGCGATAAGTCAGTAATTTGCCGCTATGGTAATACTACCGTTTTGACCATTTTGACAATTAAAAAATTAGCCAAAAAAGTTAATTCTTTTTTTCCCCTCACTATCACTTTTGAGGAGAAATTTTATGCGGTGGGGCGGATTCCGAACGTTTTTGGCAAGCGAGAAGGCAAACCTAGTTATGATGCCATTACGGCTGCTCGCTTAATTGACCGCTCACTCCGCAGTTTTTTTCCTTTTCCCAGCCAGCAGGAAGTTCAAATAACTAATTCGGTTCTCTCTTTTGACCCGGACTGCGATCCCCGTGTGGTTAGTATCTGAAATTCTTTCCTAGTCAGTTATCTTTGCCCCAACCTGCCTTTTTTTGCTACTCCTCTGGCAGCCGTGATTGTCGGACAAGAAGAAAAAAATCTTATTAGCAACCCCAGCCGGGAAAAATTAGATAATTCACCTTTAGAGTTAATTGTTAGTGCTACGGAGGAAAAAATTACCATGCTGGAAGCAGGAGTCCGGGAAATAGATGAAGCAGAATTGACCCAAGCCATTACTTTCGCTCACCAAGAAATTCAAGTATTAATCGGTTTTTTTCAACATATTGCTAACAGTCTAGGTGTAAAAAAAGAACCAAAAACGACCCCACCAGAAAAAAAAGCCAGTGATCAATGGCTAGAAGAGAAAGGGAATTTTTACTTGGGAGAAATCCTTTTGTCGCCTAACCCCTCCTGAATAGAAAAAGAAAAAAAAATGAAAGAAGTTCGCCAAAAATTAACCCAAGAGTATTACGTCCAAAATCCTCAATTAGAGGAAGAATTTGTGAAAGACTTAGTGGAAGAATTTTGAGACGATTGTCTGCGAAATTGAATGCGGAAATTGTGGCAAGAAAAACAAGTGCGATTGGATGGTCGGAGTGCCGAACAGATTCGGCCCCTAAACATGCAAATTGATTATTTACCTAATGTTCACAGCAGTGCAGTATTCGCACGGGGCGAAACCAAAGTTCTTTCAGTGATAACCGTTGGTAAAATTAGTGAAAAACAATTAGTTGATAGCATTTTTAATCGCTCTTATAAACATTTTATTCACCATTATAATTTTCCGGGTTTTGCGGTCAATGAAATTGCTAGTTATCGAGCGGTTTCTCGGCGCGAAATCGGCCACGGAGAATTAGTAGAAAAGACTTTTGATTACCTAATTCCAGCGTCCAGTTCCTTTCCCTACACTGTGCGGGCAGTTTCGGAAGTTCTTTCTTCGGACGGTTCCTCCTCGCAAGCCTCCATTTGTGCTACTTCTTTATCCTTAATGACAGCCGGAGTGCCGCTAATTAGACCGGCTGCCGGCATAGCCTTGGGTCTCTTTGCAGGACAGATTTACAATGATATCAACGGGTTGGAGGACAAATTAGGTGAAATGGATTTCAAAATTGCCGGCACCGAAAAGGGCATTTGTTCTATTCAATTGGATGTCAAAAACCAAGGAATTAGCCATGAGTTAATAAAAGAATGCCTAGAAAAAGCCCGGCAGGCACGGATTTACCTGTTAACGGAGATGAAAAAACACATTTATCATCCTCGCCCACATTTACCAACCCAGGTTATTAAATGTCGTCAATTACCAGTACCCAAAGAAAAAATCGGCTTAATTATCGGACCCCGTGGTAGGACTATCAATCAATTAACCGAGGAGACCGGGTCAACTATCGAAGTTCAGCCAGACGGTTATATACTTATCTATCACCAAGAGGAGGACCAATTAGAAAAAACTTGTCAAGCCATTAAGAAAATAATTAAAAATATCTGACATTAAGGGAACCATTATTTAGGTAAAAGAGGAATGCACTTCTATAATAAACAATAATTATAATATTTAAGTTTGAAGTAAAATTATGGCAAGCAAAAATAATGTAATCGAGGAAATCCAAGAATTAATCCAAAAAATTAAAAATGAATATAAGGAGGGGGTTGATTTTGAGTTTGTTGCTGAAAAAGAAAGTGAAAATTCAAAGTGAATGAATATTTTATCGCCTCGCTTGAAAAAATATTGTCGGGAGAAGTTTAATTTTCCGCTTGGGGTTAATGATTATTTAGATTATCAAAAAGGAAATAAAGAAGAGAATTGGTTTACTTACCGGACGAACAAGGATACTACTAAATATGGTGATTATGACCTTATACTTTTTTCAAAGTTTAAGTTGAGTACTAGTCCAGAAAAACCGGAAAATTGTGCGGTTTGCGATAAACTGACCTTTAAAGAGAATGGTCGAATGAAATTATTTGATGGAGAAAAAGATATCGGCGGGCCAAGCCCAAATGTTGTTGGCTACTTCCACCCTGAATGTGCCAAAAAATATTTTACTAATAAAGAGCAACCAAACGTAAATAATGCTAGAATAAAAGAAAAATTATTGCGAAATTTGGATATAAATATGTTTAGACCCCATGGGCGATTTGGCGAATGCGGAGTTATTGAAAAATTGTAGTTATAAGGATAGTGCTGACTATTATTATCGTCTTTATCAAGACGACGAAACAAATCCTAAATGGAAAACTGAACCCACATGAGAGGAGGTGTGAAAAATAAAAGTAGGAAATGAAGAAATTGACCTCAATCAATTTAAAGGAGACGATCTTCAAGAAATAAGAACAGCATTAATTAACGAAATTAAGGAGAACAAAAATGATTGAAAAATCGTTAAGGAGGGCGAAGCAACAATAGTCGTTAACCGATCCGGACGAAAGCATTGACAAGAAGAAATTATTAGGTTTGGTGGAGAAAAAAAACAACAAGAATGAGCCGAAATTGAAACAATTTTAAAAAACTCTGACTTTCCGGTTATTGATAATTCTCCCAACAAATCAAACTCCACCTCAACTGAAACTGAAAAAAGGTGATATAAACCAAATGATTATCCTTTTGCTTGAACAATAGGCTCCATTTCCGTAGCACTTTGCTTGCTTATCGCTATTATTTTTGCTCGCAAAAGAATAAAAAAATAAATATATCATGACACCAATCAAAAAAAAAAAAAAACAGTTAGATATCAAGCCCCAAGTAGAGTAGCGGCCGAATGAAATCAATCAGTAAATTACAAAATTAATAAATATTCATTATGGCATCATTAGTAACAAACTACTCGCAAGCATGTAAAATTTTAGGAGTTAGTTCCGGGACTAATCAATCCGAAATTAAAAAGGCTTATATTAATCTAATAAAAAGGTGGGCTGAAGACAAGTGAAAAGTTCGAGCCGCAGAAGGAGGACATCCCTGTTCTGATGGAAAATGTGGCGTGGTCCCCAGGGGTGGAGGAGAAAAGTGGTTCCATTCAAAAAAATGTAAGGAGATTTTTGAGAAAGTAATAAGAAATCGCAAACTAATCGACGAGGCCTACACTTTTTTAACCGGCAATGCGGGTAAGGGTAATCAAAATCCGGGGGGCGGCGGAGGTCAAACACCAGATCAGCCAGAATTAGAAGTTTGCGACCGTTGTGGAAAAAAATACGATTTCAGCCAGAAATTTCCTAAATTTAAAAAAAAGGAAGAAGAAAATGAAAATTATTGGTTTTGTTCGAAAAAATGTTATGATTGTTTTAATGTTTGTGATAATTGTGGCAAGATAGAAAGGCTGAAAGAAAATGAACTTCGTCAAGGGATTTGAAAGGAAAAAGGTTGAGGAATGACTAAGGGAAAAGTTTTTTGTTCTTCTAATTGCCGGCAAAAACTAGAAAAAAATCCGGGCAAGTTTGACCCCGATAGTTTACCAAATTGCGACCAGTGTGGAGAAAAATTTCGCCTTGATGAGAAAGGCTTCTATACCATTTATTCTTTTACCGGCAGGGAGGAAAAATTTTGCTCACCAAAATGTCGCACTGAGTGAGGCAATAAAAACCCAGAAAAGCCAGAGAATAATAGCGAAACCCAACAGACTAATCGTCCAACAAGCGAGAATGGGGAAGAGGAGGGGAACGATAGTGATTTGGACGACCACTCGGAGTCTAATTCCGATAATAGTTCCGATAGCAACTCCGACCAAGATGGGAAGTCCAATAATAACCTGCCCAAAAACATTCAGGAAATTGCTCATCTTCCCCTTTTGCAAGCCCAAGCCCGTGCCCGACAGGAAATTGAAAAATTACTAAAAGACAATGATATTTCCGACCACGAATTAAATCAAGAAGACTGACTTGGGAAAAGCGATTGAAAAGATTATTTAAGAAATTTAGATACTTCGCAAAAGGTGGCTGAATTTGCCAATAAAGTGCAACAAACAATTTTGCAAAAGATACTGGCTAAAAAAACTACAACTTCAAATCAGAAAAAGCCCGAAAACGACTGAGTATTACCAGTAATTATATTAGGTATTTCTCTACTGTCGTTAACCACTTTACTAATAATTGTTCGCCGGCGAAGACAAAGGCGTTAACGAGCGAACCAAGTAATTTTTAAAATTGCAATTTGCTTTTTCTTACACTACAAACCACCGAGAAAAGTTTTTTAAAGATGTTTTTTGAATAAACTTTTAACTGTATCCGTAGGTTGGGCCCCTTGTGATAACCATTTTTTAATGTTATCTTTGTCTAATTTTATTTCTTTACTACGAGGGTCATAGCAACCTAAATACTCTAAATAATTACCACTATCACGAGGTTCTTTTTCGTCAATAGCAATTATTCAAAACGAGCGTTGACCTTTACGACCTTTGAGGCTTAAACGAATTTTAACCATTTTTATTATATTATAATTTTATTTTTTTAGCTACCTGATTCAAATCGTATTTCAATTCGGGTTTGGCATTTCAAATAAAACCTTTATTTTTTTCATACTTAGGGATAATGTGGAGATGAAAATGGAAAATGCTCTGAGAAGCGATTTCATTCACATTACTAATAATATTAAACCCTTGGGGGAAAGTTGGCAAGTCGGAATTTTTTAATTTATTAATAATTTTTTTCATTAGAGGCAACAAGCATTTTCAACTTTCCTCATCAATTTCAGCAATATTCGGAAAATGTTTTTTGGTAATTAACAGCACATGACCATCGCTGGCAGGATAAGCATCCAAAATGGCTAAAATTCCTTCATTTTCGGCAATAATATGGGCTGCCGTTTCTTTTTTAACAATTTTACAAAATAGACATTCCATAATTTATTATTAGCAATAATTATTTCAGAAGCACTTAGATTCGATTTTAAAGTTGTAATTTCTGAGTTATTCGGTTTAAAATCTTTATTAATCCAAACAATTTGGGAAAATGCTGGATTAACTTATTTTATGTATTTTAGTGCTTATATATAATAGTTTGTTTTGACAGAATCATTTAGGGATTGTATTTCCTACTGGAATAAAATATTTTGCTGAAAGCCAAAAACAAACGTGGATATTTTGCCGGAGGTTAAAAATACTAAAAAAAAGATTAATGAATAAAAACACTAAGTATACTATCAATTATGTTCGCCAAAGTTGGTTAGATATCTTTCAACAAAAAGGTTATCGCTTATTAGAACCTGCCTCGCTTATTCCCCAAAATGACCCATCTTTGTTATGAATTAATTCCGGAGTAGCCACTCTAAAAAAATATTTCAATAATCCTAATTTGTTAGGAGCCAATTCGGCTCGTAATTTAGTAAATTGCCAACGAGTAATCCGCACCGACGACATAGCAAATATTAGTGCTCAATCCTATCACCAGACTTTGTTTGAAATGCTGGGGGATTTTTCTATCGGTAGTAATTTTAAAGCAGAAGTTATTCCCATCATTTGAGAGTGATTTACCGCCCCACAATGATTAAATATGAATCCAAAAAATCTTTTTATTACTGTTTGAGAAAACGACCAGTTAAGTTATGAAGTTTGAAAAAAACAAGGTGTAAAAGAAGACCATATTCTTTTTGGCAACAAAAAAACTAATTTTTGGGATATGGGTGATGGTCCATGTGGTCCTAATACTGAGATTTATTTTGATTTTGTCCCCCCAAGTAATTTGCCAAAAGATATCACGGATTTAGATAATAAACGATTTATTGAAATTTGTAATATTGTTTTTCCGGAATTTTACCATAAAGGAGAGGAATATTTGCCCTTAGCCGAAAAATGTGTTGATACCGGAGCCGGATTGGAAAGGATTGCTATGGTCTTACAAGGTAAAAAAAATACTTTTGAGATTGATTTATGAGAACCGGTAATTAAATTGATAGAGGGTTATTGCCCGAAAGGCGAAAATTAATATAATGTGGCAAGAAAGCGTAATTGTCGGGATTGTAAAAAAGAATTAGTTGGCAAATATTATCTTATTACTGGTTTACCTCACAATGGTTATGAAGCAAGCAGAGCAAATTATTGTGTTTCCTGTGTTGATAAATGAAAGCAAAAGGAGATTATGAAAGTGATTTATTTCCCAAAAGGATACAGCAGAATAATTGAAAAGGAAGTGGGAGACAAAATCGAAGATGAAATTAGCGAGTTTGAGGATAAGTGAGAAAAACACCAAACATTAGGTATTAAAAAAAACTTCTCTGATGACAAAACTTTATTAAGTTCAATTCAAAAAGCCCGTCAAGAATTAGAACCTTATTTACAAAAATCCGAAATAGTAGAAAAAGCCTGAGAGAGAGAGAGGATATGAAGGATATAGTGGCAATTTGCTTTCCATGAGTTTTTATTACCTCTTTAAAAAGGATGCTCGGGATAAAGATTATAAGCAAAAAATAGTCCAACCCGCAGTAGAGGAAATTTTGGGGGGAAAACTGGATGGGAAAATTAATACTGAACTAGAAGGGAATATTCCTGGTTTTTCTGCTGGTCGGGCCGAAGGAGATTTCAAAATTAACGGCAAGTCAGTAAGTAAATATTGATGAGTAGACGGAGACGAAGGCGATTACCACCGTTTAATGATAATATTTTTAGATAATAACAAACTAGCACTACAAAGTTTTTTGAAGTCCTTATCCGTTAAAGAAAAAGAATTAACAGGAAAATCGCCAGCAGATAATCAGCAAAATAATAACAATAATCCTAATGATAATGACAATTCACCGCCACCAAAAACAAGTAATCAAAACGAGTATAATAATTCCAATAAATCTAATTATGCTTTATGAATAAGTTTGAGCGTAGGAGTTGTTATTCTGTTTTTGGGTTTAGTTTGCTATTTTTCAAAAAAAAAAAAAAAAACATAACTATTACTAGTAAATATGATAAAGAAATAAGCGGTTTGTTTTGCGCTACTTGCGAGTTAGAGAAAGATTACGCCTAAAAATTGGATAAAACAAAAATAGAAAAAAATGCTAAAATACTAGTATATACAATTTAGATTTTTACAATGGACAAAAAAAATAATCAGATAAAAATTACTATTTACGGTTATGATGTGGAGACTACGGAAGAGGCAACTCACTTGGTTAGCGAAAAAATTTCGCAACTGAAATTAAATTTTAGTGGTCCTATTCCTTTCCCTCTTAAAGGCAAATGAAAGAAAATAGTTACAGTGCCAATCTCTCCTCACAAGCATAAGAAGTCGCAGGAGCAACTTAAACAAGAAATACATCGTCGAGTAATTTTTGTAGATAACATTTCCTCCTCCGATTTGGAAGCACTAGAAAAAACGAAAGTGCCTAACACTGCCTATTTTAAATTAAGGACTTCGTTTTAATTTTTTAATTTAGCCCAGTAAGTACGAATTAATTTAGCAGGAATGTAATAGGTTTTGGTTCCAATCTGAAATTTTTGCCGATTAGGAGCAAATTTTCTTTTTGTGGCCCGCATAGAAAAGGAACGGTTGTTTCCGGCTAGCGGCTTACTCTTTTTATTTAACAATTTTAATAATTCTGACTTCTTCATATGGATTTTTTACAATGGCTAAGGGAAGGTTATAGATATTTATTCCTTTTTTTCATCCTTTCTCTTATTATATTAATTTTAATATTTTTCGCTTACCTCAAAAGAGCCTATTGGGGTCGATTAGAAGCGGGTAGACTACTTCGTGACCAAAAACGGCAAGCGAGCAAACTCAAAATTAGAGAAAAAAGGCTAGAAATTGTTAACAAGAAATTGACTGCCAAGAAAGAAAACATTGAGGCTGTTGAGAGAAAATTGCAGCAAGAAGAAAAAAGAATAAGTGAATTCGCTAATCAATTATTCCGAAAAGAGGAATTATTTACTCAACAGTTAGCAATAAGTTCTCAAAAAGAAAAAACTATCCGCGCCGAAATGGAAAAGGTTAAGGAAATAAAAGAGCGGGTCATGGGTGAACTGGAAGGAATAATCCCTCTGAGTAAAGAAGAAGCCAAAAAAGACCTTTTAACCTTATTAAGAACCGAAGTGGATCGTGAATTAGAGAGATATAAGGAAGAAAAAATCAGGCAGAGCGAAAGAATTGCCAAAGAAGAAAGTGCAAAAATTATTTGTCTGGCTCTGGAAAAATGCAGTTCAGAGTTGGTTTTCACTAAAACCACGGACACTTTACAAGTAGAGAGACCTCAAATAATCAGTAAAATAATCGGCAAAGATGGAAGAAATATCAATGCTTTTCAGCGAATTACTCGCACCGAGTTGATTATTGACAAAGAAAGCGACGAATTGACTATTCAAATTTCTTCTTTTCAATATTTACTGAGATTCATGGCCCTGCTAACTCTCCAATCTTTAATTAAGGAGGAACGCTTTTCTCCGCTTCAAATTGAAAAGGCTTATCAAAAAGTGGTTTCTGAAACTCAAGAACTTATTGTTAAAACCGGAACCGAGGTCGTGGAAGAGTTGGAATTAAGTAATATTCACCCTGAATTAATTAAGCATTTAGGAAAATTAAAATTCCGCACTAGTTACGGTCAAAATGTGCTGGAACATTGCCTAGAAGTAGCCAAATTAGCCGGCAACATTGCAGCAGAGTTAGATTTAGATGTTCTTTTGGCCCGACGAGCCGGTCTTTTACACGATATTGGAAAAGCAGTAGAAGACGAGGGAGACTATTCTCATGTTCGCAGCGGCATAAGTTTAGCAAAAAAATGTCAGGAACCAGAGGTAGTTATTAATGCCATTGCTTCTCATCACCGGGATTTTGCTCCTACTAATCTTTACTCTTTAATTGTTCTAGCAGCGGATAGGTTGTCCGCTGCTCGTCCAGGTGCTCGGGGATATCAGTCCGAGGCTTACATCGAACGAATGAATAGTTTGGAAAATATTGCTAACGAATTTCCAGGCATCAAAAAAAGTTATGCTTTTCAAGCCGGAAGAGAGGTGTGAGTTTTTGTAGATGCCGAAAAATTAAACGACCATAAGACTTGAGAATTGTCCCGTAAAATTAGAGAAAAAATCAAAAAGGAGATTGTCATTCCTGGTGAAGTAGTTATTCAAGTGGTGCGGGAAAAAAGATTCACGCAAAGATTACATCATCGTCCAGAGCCTACCAAAATCAAATCTCGCCTAAAAAGTTAATTTGTTAGGAGCAGAAAAGTAGGCTAAAATAATAAATTGTGATAAATAAAAAAGTGAATAAAACAAGGTTTTGTGGGAGTTTATTGATTGTTGAGAATCTGAAGGGCATTACCCCGTCCTCTTTTAAAAGATTTTTGGCAAGTTCCAACCTTTTTCCATCATATTCAATCATTTGGCGTGTTTATATTGGTCGTTTTTATCAACAAATTTATCGTTATATTTTCATTCATCTTCTTTTCCAGTATTGTAAGGAGGGTCAATGTATATCAAGTCAATTTTATCTTTGTGGGTGTAATTTAGACAAGTAAGAGAGTGATAATTATCTCCTTTGATTAGAATATTGTCATCACTATTGTCAGTTCTAATTTGCTTTTCTCCAATTCTTTTGAGTATTGGTAAATTACTTTCACAGACTAGAACCACTTGCTCTCACTCTCTTTCTCGGTTTCAGACGAGCCCGTATTTTTTAAGTTCTAATTCTTTTTCTTGCTTTTCAATAAGTTTTAATAATTCTTCTTTGGAAAGGTGGCTGTATTTAGTCATAGCCTATATTTTAATTTTTGTTTTTTTTGCCAAAGAATAAATAAAAACGCATATATGTTGTGTAGTAAATGTTATCAAAAAATTCCACAAGAAGAAGCAATACAAATTGAGGGTTCGATAATTTGCCAAAAGTGTGCTTTGAATGGTTTAGAAAAGAGAGAAGTTGTTGGTAGATGCAACAAATGTTCAAAACTGATTTATAAAGATGAAACAACTCACGAAGTTTATGAAAATTGAGGTGCTGAAAATTCCGAAAAGTTAATAATATGCCAACTATGTTATAAAGAGTGACTAGAAATAGCCGAGTTAAAAAGAAAAAGTTGGAGGATAACGAGATGATTTGATAATGTTTTTCTTCCATTTGGTATGTGATTTGTGCTAGCCGCTGTAACAATTAATAAAAATAAAGAGAAGACGGGATGAGGACCAATTTTGCTAACGTTTACGTTAATTACTTCCGTTATGCTATTAAGTCCTCTTTTCTCGGATTTTATATTATTCATTTATCAAAAAGTACTCGAAAGAAAAAATAGAAAAAAGATAAAAAAACAAGAGCAGAAGATTGCAGAGTTAATAAAAAAATTACAAGAAAAAGTAATTTTGAGAGTTGAATTATACTGAAAGGTCAACCAAAATAAAAATGGAAAAATCAACGGCCGAACCATAACCGAAGTATTAGGAAAAAATTGAGAAAATAACCTCAATAACAAAAAGGAAGAGAAAAATATTTTAATGGAAAGAAGCAGACTAATTAAAAAAATTGATGACGAACTTGAATTAGCAAAATAATAATAATGCCAAACACTCTGCAAACATTAACCCAACTCCTAAAAAAAGACCCAAGACTAATAATAGATGGCAATCTTGCCAAAAACAAAATTATTGAATTAGCCCTGAAATTTGACAAAGAACTTTTAAAACTTCTTCTCTCTTCCCCAGAAATTAAAAAAATATTTTTCCAAGAAGTAGATAATATACTCGTTTTTGACAAAATAAAATTTCAAAACTTCGTTTCTAACAAACAATTTCTCCCTGATAGTTTTACTAAATATAAAAACAAAATCGGTTTAACTGCTAATGGCGATTATCTTACCGACAGCAAAGAAGTAGTTTTGGCTTGACCTTATAAAGACTGTATTTTGGAAGGAGGACAGACCAAAGAGGACGCCAAAAGACAGGAAATATTTTGAAATGAAACCTTAGCACCAGACGAAATTGACCGCCTGCTTACTCCCAAAGTTTTAACCAATTTTCAAAAATATGATTGCGGAAAAGAAGTATCCATGGACAACATTTTGCCAAATGACAATCTGATTATCAAAGGCAATAATCTGCTTTCTCTTTATTCGCTAAAAGAAAAATATCAAAACAAAATCAAATTAATTTATATTGACCCTCCTTATAATCCGGATAGTAAATCTAATACTTTTGTTTATAATAATGGTTTTAATGAATCCACTTGATTAACTTTTATGAAAAATCGGTTGGAAGTTGCTAAAAAATTACTGACGAATGATGGTTGTCTAATTGTGGCGATTGACGAAAAAGAATTAGCAGAACTTAAAATTTTATTGAAAGAAATATTTCGTAGCTATGAAATTCATTGTATAACTATAGTTCACATGCCACAAGGCACACAGTCAGTAAATTTTGCTTACATTCATGAATACGCTATTTTTGTTATTCCAGAAGGCAAAAAATCAATTGGAGATAGAAAGGTTGAAGAAATTAAATGAAGAAATCTTCGTCGCGGAGATAATTTGAGAAGTGACGCTAAAAATTGTTTTTATCCCATAATTGTCGAAAATGATAAAGTGATCGGCTTTGGAGAAGTTTTGAGTGATGATGAACACCCAAAAGGTTCCGTTGTTGAGAAGGATGGTAAATTTTGGGTTTATCCAATAGATAGCAATAACATTGAAAGAAAGTGGAATTATGCCCGAAAAAATGTGGAAGAAATAAAAAAGTTTCTACGAGCCCGAAAAACGAGAAATGGCTGCTATGAAATTGAAATTGGCAAAGATTTTGAAACTTATAGGACAGTATGAACTAATAACAGGTACAATGCCGGAACTTATGGAACAAATTTACTTAAAAAACTAGTGCCAAACAATCCATTCAGTTTTCCCAAATCCCTTTGAAATGTCTATGATTGCCTTTATGCGGTAGTTGGTAATGATAAAAATGCGATTATTTTAGACTTTTTTGGAGGAAGTGGCACCACGGCTCACGCGGTATTAGAACTGAATAAGCAAGACGGAGGAAACCGGAAATTTATTATTTGCGAGCAAATGGACTATATTGAAACCGTAACCAAAGAAAGAATTAGAAAAGTTTGTGAACTTGATAATAAAGGTTCTTTTATTTATTGTGAATTAGCCGAATTTAATCAACAATTTATAAACCAAATTCAAACAGCAAAAAACACGAATGAACTTTGAAAAATCTGGGAGCAAATGAAAAAAATGGCTTTTTTGAGTTATAAGATAGAACCAAAAGATATTGACAATTCCAAAAAAGAGTTTGGAGAATTATCCTTTACCGACCAGCAAAAATTTTTGATTTCCCTGCTGGATAAAAATCTTTTGTATGTTCCTTATTGTGATATGGAGGATAAAAGTTATGGGATATCGGAGGAAGTTAAGAAATTGAATTGGGGGTTTTATGGAGATAAGTCTTAAAAATAGTTTATTTATTTTTCCTCAACTTTTTATTTTGTGATTTACCGCATTTCCAGTTATTAAAAAAGACTGATATATACAAAATGAAAACAGAAAAAATGGAGATTGCCACAAAAATAACGAATACAAGCGGATAATTTTTTAATAATTCCTCAATAGTATCTCAATGACGCATACGAAGCCACAAAATAGATAAAATGATTACGCAGAAAAATAATATTTGTTTATTTGTCTTTAAATATTTTTCTCTCTTTTTTCGTTTTTTGTAGCACTCATTACATACAATAATTTTTTCGGTTTCGCTAGTGCTGAAAATATATTCAACTAAACTAATGTTTTTGTCAAACTCATGTTTTAAATCGCTATCGTAGATTGATAAATTACATTCATAACATTTTGTAAATGGTATCAAAGCCTTTTTTATATTACTTTTAGAAATACAGGCTCGGCAAATTATCGTTCCTTTAATTTGGGTAATTTTTTCGTGACTTTCATCTTTAAAACATTCGCTACAATGAAACATATATTAATATTATTAATGTTTTTCAATAGATATACACCTCTCTATCCCTAAAATTACTTATATATTATTATATTTTATGAAACTTATTTATATTAAATCTACCATTACTCCCAAAGATTATAGCGTAGTAAGAGAAATATTAAAAAAAGAAAGGGGGGAAAAGTTGGCTCCTTTTATTTATAAATTAAGCAGGTTAGAAAGTTTGGAACAATATTTAAATAGGGAAAATATTAATTATGAAGTTTATCAACCAATAAAAGTTAACCAAAAAGAAAGTATTTTTACCAGTTATGGGAAAGCAATTAAAGATAAAGAACGAGAAAAAGAAGCCCAAGAATTAGAAAATGCCGAGGAAGAGGATATAATTAACGAAGAATGGTAAACAAAAAATTTTCCTCAAAGAGAGAAAAATTCCCACCCGCTCAACAATGAGAAGTTTATAAGTTTAGAACTAGCCCAAAAGAGACCGAAGGCACCGAAATTATGAAATCTCGGCCGGGAATAATTATTTCCAGTAATGAATTAAATAAATGAGGACAAAGATACATTTTCTTGCCAATTACTAGTAAAAATTTTCGCGAGGTTTATCCGTTTGAGATTTTTATTGATTTTCAAGGCAAGAAAGGAAAAGCATTGCCCGACCAAATTAAAACTTATAGCCATAGTAGAATTATTAAGAAATTAGGAATATTAGACCCTAAATATTATTCTGAAATAGAAAAAAGGTTAAAGGAAGTGTTCGGTTGGAAGTAATTATAAAAATGAGAATAAAAAACCATGAACGAAAATAAATGTTTACACGAAAGAGTAAGAGGACATGTAGGAGAGGAAAATTGAGAAAATACTCCTATTCCAAAAATAATAGAAGTTAATCTTAATCCAAAATTTAAACCTCGGCCCTATCAAGTAGAAGCATTTAGATACTTCATTAACTATTGAGAAAAAAAATTCAGAGGCAAAGACAAACATCAACTCCTATTTCTTATGGCAACCGGCAGCGGCAAAACTTTGATGATGGCCGGATTAATTTTGTATTTATATCAAAAGGGATATCGTAATTTTCTCTTTTTTGTTAACAGCACTAATATTATTGATAAAACCAAAGATAATTTTTTGAATGATGCTTCAATTAAATATCTTTTTAATAAATCTATCTCTTTTGAGGATAAGAAAATAATTCTCCAAGAAGTAAGTAATTTTCAAAATACTGATAATGATAATATTAGCATCGTTTTTTCTACCATTCAAGGTCTTCATTCTCGCTTAAATACTCCTCGTGAAAATAGTTTGACTTATGAAGATTTTCAGGACCAAAAGATTGTTCTTATTTCTGATGAAGCCCATCATATTAACGCGGAAACTAAGTCCAGAAACCAACTTTCCAAAGAGGAAAGAGAAGAAATAAACTCCTGAGAAAATACGGTCAATAAAATATTCGCGGCTAATCCGGAAAATATTCTTTTAGAATTTACGGCCACGATAGACTTTAATAATCCCTACATTTGAGACAAATACGCGCCAAGGCTTATTTTTGATTATCCTCTCAAAGAGTTTCGCCGCGATGGTTATTCCAAAGAAGTAAGAGTATTACAAACGGATGCTGAACCTTTTGAACGCGCTCTCCAAGCCGTATTACTCAACCAATATCGCCGCAAAATATTTGAAAAAAATGGCAAAGTAATAAAACCGGTTATTTTATTTAAATCTAAAACTATTAAGGAAAGTGAAGAATTTCAAGAAAGATTTATAAGGGGCATAACAACGCTCACAAGTGGTAAACTTAAAGAAATCGAAACCAATTCCAAAGACGAAACTTTAATAAAGGCATTTAAATATTTTGCTACTAATAAAATCTCCTTAGATAATTTGGTTGCTGAACTACAAGAAGATTTTTCAGCGGAAAAAACGCTTTCAGTAAACAGTCAAAACGAAAGTGAAAAAAATCAATTAGCCGTAAATACTTTGGAAGCCCCTAATAATGAATATCGGGCTATTTTTGCGGTTGATAAACTTAATGAAGGATGAGATGTGCTTAATCTTTTTGATATTGTTCGTTTGTATGACACCCGGGATGCCAAAAATAATATTCCTGGACCAACTACCATTAAAGAGGCTCAATTAATCGGCCGCGGGGCTCGTTATTGCCCATTTAAAATTAATGAAACTGACGACCCTTCGCAACGAAAATTTGACCGCGACCTCCAAAATGAAATGCGGGTTTGTGAAGAATTATATTACCACAGCAATTACAACCCTCGTTATATCCAAGAATTAACTTCGGCTCTGATAAAAACCGGAATCATCCCGGATAATACCATCAAAAAAAAGCTTGTCATTAAAAAAGAATTTAAAAATACTGAATTTTACCGGTCTGGTCTTTTATTTCTTAATCGGCCGGAAAAATATCCACGAAATGATGTTTGGGAATTACCGTCGGCAATACTTAATTTTCCCTACCAAGTATCACTCCGGACAAATACTAGTCTCTCCCGAGACCTTTTTGAAAGCCAAGTTAAGGAAAATGTTGAAACCCAAGAAAAAGTTTTTTGGATAAAAAACTTAAAACCACATATTATAAAAAAGGCACTTTATAAGTTTGATTTTTATTCATTTTCCAATTTGAAAAAATGGTTTCCCAACTTGGAAAAACTGGATGACTTTATTAAAAACGAAAAATATTTGGGAGGAGTGAAAATAACTGTTTCTGGTCTGAAATCTCAACTCAAAGAATTAAAACCGGAGGACGAAATTAATATTTTAATAAAAACTATCGGGCAAATTACTTCTAGTTTGGTTTCCAACAGTCCTGAATTCAGAGGAAGTAAAGAATTTGGGCATGTTTTATTAAAAGAAAAAATTGGCGATAAAGAACTTAATTTTGCCTTAAACGAAAGTTGAGATAAGGAGTTGGGAAAATCAATGAATAATAATCAAAAGACCGAATTTTATCTGAGCCTTAATGATAGACCCTGACATGTTTTTGAAGATTGTTTTGGAACTTCTGAGGAAAAATATTTTGTGAAATACATTGATAGAATATATGATAAACTGCAAGAAAAATACGACCAAATTTATTTAGTCCGGAATGAGCGTTTTTTTAAACTCTATAATTTTGAAGACGGAAAGGCAATTGAACCCGATTATGTGCTATTTTTACGGCAAAAAAAGTTTTCTAAAAAATTGTATTATCAAGTGTTTATTGAGCCAAAAGGTAGCCATTTTAAGGAAAAGGATGATTGAAAGCAAAATTTTTTGATATCTTTAAAAGAAGAACATAAAGTAGAAAAATTATGGGAAGATAAAGAATATAAAGTTTGGGGTCTGCCATTTTACAATAAAATTGAGGAAAATGAATTTGACCAAAAATTTAGTAAGGAATTGTTATAAATACTATAAAAACCTTTCTATCCCACCCAAAAATAAAAAAAATGCTTTCTGAACCAAAAAACAAATCCCTTTTTCCAAAAATAATCGCTAAAATTCCCCCACAGCCTGGTTGTTACCTATTCAGAGATAAAACCGGAACCATAATTTATGTTGGCAAAGCCCAAAATCTAAAAAAAAGAATTAGCAGTTATTTTCTCAATTCACGGGATAATTATTTTTACCAGCAAATCCATAGTTTTAACACCATTATCACCAATAATGTCAAAGAGGCCTTAATTTTAGAGCAAAATCTGATTAAAAAATATCAACCGCGTTTTAATATTCTCCTCAAAGATAGTCATTATTATCCTTATTTGGAGATTACGGCCGGCGAAAATCCCCGTTACAGAGTAGTGCGAAAGGTAACCAAAAAAAACGACCCCATAAATCCCAGCGAATATTTTGGTCCTTTTCCCGATGGCAGTAAGGCCCGTGAAATATTGCAATTATTAGAAAGATTATTTCCTCTTGCCAAATGTAAAGGTAATTTAGGAAAACCATGTTTTTATTACACGATAAACCAATGCTCGGGGCATTGTTGAAAATTGGTCGACAAATCCTACTATGAAAACATTAAAAAAGAAGTCAGAAAGTTTTTTCATGGCCAAACCCAAGAAATTAAGAAAAAAATTAAAGATTCTTTGCGAAAAAATATTGCCAATTTAGCCTTTGAAATTGCTCACAAAGAAAAAAAAATCCTGGATAATATTGATTTTTTTACTAGTCAGCAAAACATTGAATTTTTACGAGAGGAAAATAGCGATTTTTTAGGTGTTTACGAGCAAGAAAATGTGATAGCCTTTTGTCTCCTCATTTATCGTTATGGAAAATTGGTGGCTACTGATGAAGCGGCCTTTCCCGCTTGGAATGACACTGCCGAAATTACCGAAACTTATCTCTATCAATTTTACCAAAATAATTTGCCCCCTGCCGTGCTTTATACGACAAAAAAAATTCCGGAAATTAAATTATTGGGAGAGGAATTGGGATTTGTTTGCAAATCACCCCAACGCGGCCGCAAAAAAGAAGTGATTAATCTCGCCCAACAGAACGCCCAGCAAGTTTGACAAAAAAATTATTGAAATGAATTTCAACAAGTAAATAAAAGTCAGATATTAACCGAAATAAGTAGTCTTTTGTCTGTTCCACCTCCCAATTATATTGAGTGCTTGGATATTTCTAACCTCTACAAACAAGATATAGTGGCCGGTTTTTTGGCTTTTATTAATGGAGAAAAAAATCTCGCCCAAAGTAAATTGTATAAATTAGAAAATGAAGCGAACAAGAATTCAGAATTAGCGGAGCCACCAACCGAGGCAACAAGCGACTTAACCCGAATAAAAAAGGCTTGTCGCGTTCATTTTCAAAAATATTCCTCCGGCAAAAAACCGGACTTAATAATAGTAGACGGCGGAAAGGAACAAGTTAAATCCGTTCAGCAAGTTTTAAAGGAATTAGTGTTGGAAATCCCTGTTATTGGCCTTGCCAAAGACGAAAAACACCAAACCGCCAAAATAATTACTAATACTTTACAAGAATTAAATTTTGGCCAAAATGAGCGAGTGAAAAATTTTTTGACTAATTGTCAGGCCGAAGTTCACCGTTATGCTCTTAATTTTCATCGTAAATTACACCGAAGAAGTATTTTGAAGAAAGATTAATGTTTACTGCTTTTTTACTCCGTCATTCTCCCATTGAGAAACCACTCGGGCTAAAATAATTCCACAACTGACCGAAACATTTAAAGAACCAATATTATTACTCATGGGAATATAGAGAGAATGGTTGCTTTTTTTGATTAAATTTTTTCTAATTCCTGTGTGTTCATTGCCAAAAATTAAGCAAATGGGGGAATTGAAATTGAATTTGCTATATTCAATGGCTCCGAGTTCACAAATGGTAGCAATAATTTGATAGCCGTTTTTTTTTAACTCATTTAGTGCTTCGGGCAGACTGGCAATTTGACAGACCGGCACTTGGGCTACTCCCCCCACCGAAACTTTAACCACTGTACTATTAACTGGAACTTGATTTTTTTTGGCAATAATTACCCCGTCAATATTAAGAGCCGCAGCCGTCCGCAAAATGGCCCCAAAATTATGAGGGTCTTCAATGCCATCCAACATGATAATTAAAGGAAACTTACCTCTTGGCTTACAAGATAGCAAAGAAGTAAGCGAAACATAATCATAATTCCGAATAAAAGCCACTATGCCTTGGTTTTTTTTATCGGTGCTGTAACGGGAAAATTGTTCTTTATCTAACAATTGATAAGGTATTTGTTTTTGTTTTAAAACTTGTAATAATTCTTTGTCTTGGTGGTGTTCGGTTCGCAAAAGTATTTTTTTGAAAGAAAAATAAGGAGAGTGGAGCAAATTACGGACGGTGTGATTACCAAAAGCGATAAAAGTCATTGATTTATTTTTTTCAGTTTAGGGACAAAATTGGGCTGTTTTTTTGATTCAAATGATCCCTCCGCAATTTAATTTTTACGAGAAAATGAGCAAGTATAGAAAAAACAATATACCAAAAAACTACGGTTATGATTAACCAAACTATCCCCGCTCGTCAACTCGGTTGCCAACTGCAGAACAAAAACTTACTTCGTCCGGCTCGTTGCTCGGTCCCATTCGCATACTTGCCTCTAATTCAAAAAAAAGGTGGATAAGGATAATCAGGGGGATATTTATGAGGAAAACTGGGAGCGTGCTTGGAAAAATTACTTATCAATGGCCGCAACATAAGGTAACAAAGATAAATAGTGGGATTAGACAAATTGACGACCAAACCCAACCATTTTTTTTTGGCTAATTTGTCAACTCGGCAATATTTTCAAAAATAATAGAAAACCAGACCCGGTGCTAAAACATGCCAAAAAAAATTGTAAAAAAACCAAATGTAAATGGTTTTAACATCACCAAGTAAAGGATAAGTTATCACCGGCTTTTTAAACGCTGTGTGAAGCGTCAAGTAAAAGCCACCACCACAAAAAATTACTCCACTAAGTAAATTAGTTTCGGCTACTATTAAATCTCATATTTGTTCGCCAAAGCCGCTTTTTTTTCTTTTGGAAGCAAATATTTTGTAAATCGCTCATGGCACTGTTAATAAGGAAGTCCAAGCCGACCATCAAGCAAAGGCTCATAATCAATATTTTAATTCGGTTAATTTGACATTATGGCTGGGGTGTGTGGCCTGGTCGTAAAAGGCGGAAAGAATAACCGGAAAAATATGAGAAAAAATAATGATTAAAAGAAAAATAATCTTTTTGGTAGACTTTCGTTGGGCGGGCATTTTTTTGAAAGCATTCAGGGGAACCAATAATTCAAACCTTTGTCTCAATTATTAAAGAACACGAGGTTCAGAAGATTCCGACAACTCGTCAAAAGGAGGACAACCAATTTCGTCCTCCTCAATCTAATTTTCAGCAATTTTAACTACTTGGCCGCCAGCGGCGGCCATTTAATCTTCGTAAAACATCTGTGTCTATCGGCAAAATATTTTTATCTACTTTTCAACAAATCTACTCGTCGCCTTCACCTTCGGTTTGGCTATTGGATTTTATTAAGTAGACCACAGCGGCAAGTATTAATGCTATTACCAAGAAAAGCGGGATTATATATTTCATTTGTTTGTATCATGGCGTAGGGTTTGTGCCATCATTGCTTTTGCCGTATTCTTTTTGCTTTGTCTCTAATTGTGATTTTCGGCTTTCTAATGAACTTTTCAAACTTTCTAAGAAAGTTTTAGTGTCGGTTTCCCCTCATTTGCCACTTTTGCCATCAAATTCTTCTAATTTTTTTCTAAGTTGACCCTCATTGGAACTATCGGAACTCTTAGCCTTAATAATTTTTTCTAATACATCAATGTGCTTTTTAATCTCAGTGAGGCTTTGTTCTATCTTATCTTGGCTATCGCTGTATTCAGTAGTTTCGCCAGCTCTTTTGGCTATCACTACTAATGCTTTCTCGTCATCCTTATCAGAATTTTTGAATTCCGCACTAATCTGACCCCGTTTGACAAGCGTTTCATCACTCACTCCATCTTTGGTTGCTTCTTCTCGCACCTCTTTCGCACTTCCCATTGCCGCATACTTAGCATGAGTTGCTTGGTCTTTTTTCTGACCTTCATCAACTTTTTCCAAAGCTTCATCGGCGTATCCTTTGCCGGCGGTTTTTTGGTATTGATTTACTTTATCCCAAGCAGTTTTTTTGCTTGTTTGATAACCTGTTAATTCGCCTTTTAGGCCATCCTTTTCGGTGCTTGTAACAGAACCATGAGCCTTTTTACATTTTTCAAATACCAATTTAATATCTTGGGCTAATTGAATACTATCAACAATATCAATTTCCGTTTTGGTTATTGCATCACCTTCATTTTCCATCACTTTTTTAGCAGCGGCAACCGCAGTGGTTAATTGCTTTTCGGCTTCTTTAGCTACATGTTCGGCTCAACCACCATTCGTCTTGTATTTATCATCATTTTTAGTAGTCTCATTAACCAATTTTCAAGCCAGCGCTTTATCTCCTGTGGCATTTGGCAAACCACCAAAATTAGTTCGTAGTTCTTTGGGTTTATCAATAGTTTTGCCTAGTTCGCCAATTAACGCCACTAGTGCATCGTAATAAGTATCCGTTTTTACATTCGCACCCAAATTATCAAAGGCTTGATAAACTTTTTTAGCCGGGTCTTTCAAATTAGCATCGGCTAATATTTTGTTCAAATCAGATTGTTTGGTGAATTTACCTCCCCCCCCTGACAGAGCCGCAATGGCGTCGTCAATTTGTTTAATCAGCCCGCTATTTTGGTCACCAATTTTATCTTTTCAATGCCGACCTAATTTAGCCTCTGGACTAGTATCAGTGGCAACATTACCTTTGGTTACATACGCTTGTAAATCAGTTTTTACTTTTTCTAACGCCGTTTTTTTCTTGTCTTTGTCGCTTTCACTTAGGGCACTTGCATAGTTAGTTACATATATTCCCAGGAAAGTTTTGGCCGAGTTATAACCGTTAGTAATCTTTTCTCTGCCCCCGCCGGCCGCCACATCATTCCAAGCGGTTTTTGCAGCAGTTGCGTTCGGCGTTCTTTCAAAAGCCTTATAATATATTTCCAACATTTCTAATTCACTTTTTCCTGATAATTCATTGAAGAAAAGATAATCTGGGTCGTTGGGTTTTTTGTTGGTACCCGCCGCGTAATCCTGACCAAAAAAGGCTAAATTAATGGCCTCGTCTAAGGTAGCCGCCTCCCAAATATCAATGACGACTTTAGTATCTAATTTATGAGCATTAACATCTAGCGAGTGGGCCTCGGTGCCAACATTATTATTTAAATATCCGACCCCATGACCTCGATAATCACCCTCGGCTGTAAGTTCGCCCGGTTGAAAACCACAACAATCCTCGCGTTTATTTGACTCAAACAATTTTATTGGTGGATTAGTGGCTTTTATATTATCTGGTAGTTCAATTGGAAAACTATCTTTATGACGAAACATGTCAATAGCGGTTTTGGAGTATCTATCCCCAGGTGCGGAGCTAAAAGTTATATCATCCGCCTTCGTAGCCCCAGCGGTGGCTACTACTCCAGGGTCAATCACCGGAAAGCCCTTGTAAAGCGCTTTACCCGTCGCCTTTCTAAACTCATCACTATCATCAGCAAAAGTAAAACCATTCGCATAGATTTGGGCTACCTCGGCCTTTTTCGTCAAACCTCGCTGATGTCAAAAAAAAATCTCTATCAGGAAATCAAGTCAACTATTTATTTTATTCTCATAAATCCTTGCATTCGTTTCATCTTCTAAACTAAAAAGAATGTGTTTAATATTTTCATCACCAGTTTTATCAGGAACGGTTGTTGAAGCATTCCAATTACCATAAAAGTAGGATTTCAATCCAGTATTACCATCATCAACAAACCTACCAATCTCAGCAGAAGTATCAGTTAAGGTTAATTCTGGTCCCTTTGTGAAATCCTTACCGCCGGGAAAGTTGGTTTCCAAATCGGCTAATTTTTGTTCCAAATCCAAAAGGGCTTGTTTTTGATCATCTCGGTCCACTACTACTGCCGGTTCGTTAGTGCCTGCCTTTTTACTATTGTAATCAGTGTCATTAATTTTTATTATATTTTCGGCCGTCAGAGCACCCGCAAAATCCGCTGCTGTTAAGTTCAATATTGCATCTTGGGAAGTCCCGACAGTGGTCTCGGGCGTAATATCTCAATGGTCCGTGTTATCAGTTAAATCGTGGTTTAAACCTACTATTTCAAAAGCGAAACTATCTTTAGCATTATTTTTGGTATCTCTCACATCATCTTTTAAAAAAATTAACTTTAGCATTTTCTCTAATTCCGCTTCCGGGCCGGTAATCCTGATTCTTTCAATATCCTCCCGGTTAACATCACCACCATTTGTAGGAAAATCGCCTATTTTACCATCTGAATTTCCTGCGGCGTGGTCCTCGCTTCATGGGTTAAGTCTGTTCCCATATTTTTCGATGACTAGTGTGGAAGTATTGCCACCACGAGTAAATGCCACTCTATTTTTACTATTTACTGTTATTTTTATCCTTGTTACCATATATTTATTGTTTTAAATTTAAATTGTTAATGACTTTATTAATATATATTTTTATGTTATTATATTCAACCATCTTAGCGGATAAAATTTATCATCTTCCTTTGGCTTTCATCAAAACATTCACGCTTATTTTTCTTATCGCTGTCTATTCAAAAATAGCAAGTTTATTTTCTTTTGCGTTAAGAAAATTTCATTTCATTTTTTTTCTACTACATGGAGAGAGAGAGAGAGACAATTTTTACCTCCGCCTCATCCCCTTCCTCCATCTCCTTAATATAATTTTATAATTTATACTTGTTGTGCGATATTAAACACTTTATTATTTTGCCACCCGTTTAAACTATTTTAAAATTGCCATAACTTCGCACGGTGCCCCGAACAATTTTTTTAGCCTTCTCAATATCATCAGTATTCAAACTAGGCATTATTTTCCGAGCAATTTCTTCTAATTCGGCCTCTGAAATTTCTTTTCTTTCTTTTTCTCGGGCTTCTTTTCTTTTTTCTTTTTCCCTTATCGTTTTATAATCATTGCGTCTGTTTTTTAGTAGATAAACACCAGGTGGTGTGCTAATGTTATAACTATGACTCTTATCATCATAAACGCTTATTTCCACGCTAACTATCTGTCCGTCCTTATCTTTGGTTTTATCGTTAAATTCCTTACAAAACAAAGCCATATTTTTCAAAAAGGCTAAATCAGCACCCGGCCTGGCCTTGCCACAAATTAGTTGAACTTTACTGTGACGAATTATTTTTGGCATATATTATTATTTTTATGGCAAAAATAACTAAATTGCTTGTAATTTTGTCTTGTTGTAACTCGGGCAACACATAAATTTTGCTTGCCATTTGGAGGAAGTGAGAGGATTCGAACCTCCGAATATGGATTAGATATTACTGGCTCTCCATGCCAGCCCCTTTAACCGCTCGGGCACACTTCCTTTTTTTATTTTTACTTTTCCTCGTCCCGAGAAAACTTCTTTTTTGTCAAAAGAAGATTTTCCGCTTTTTGAGGAGAATTCTTTTTCCAGAGAAATTTTTTTTAGATTTTTTGCCATGTTAACTTTTTTTTTACTTTTTGTAGACTTCTTGACACTGTTTTAATAATTTTTCGGCTTGCTCTTGACCTTCAAATTCTCCGACTTGTACTTTTTTATTTTCTAAATCTTTATAATGAGAAAAAAAATAAAGACAATTGCTAGCGTGAAAAGCATGTCGAACAAAAATCATCCTCATGAGGGAACACTAGAACCGTCCGAACCGCCTTTACCTTTATTTTCATAACTTCTATAACACCTGCTATTTTTTCAACATTCCTCGCAATAGCACCCACCATATCCACCGCCATCTCCTTTATCTGTTATGAGCCGAAAATCTTATTTCTTCCCCTTTGGGGATTATTTTTAGACATTTATTACACTTCATGATTTAAACAGATCATTTGGGTATAGTTTCCTGAGCAGGGGGCTTTTACTTTTTTGTAATCACCTACTCTTTGATAGATTTTATTGGGACAATCTTTAAGCCAACATTTATTTAAACCTTTTTCTTTATAAAAGTTTTTTTTGAATTCTTGGTTTCACTCCTCTTTATAGTTTGCTTCCTTAACTTTAATACAACCTCCCTCTACAACAATATTTCATTCTCCTATAATTGTTTTCTCTTTATTGTTTTTATCTATCAAATAAAATATTTGGGGAGTTTCAGTTTTGAATTCTCCCACTTTTCCTTTAACAATGGTGCCAAATCCTACTTCTCCACTTTCTAATTTCTTAATTAAGTTAAATAATAATTCTTTATTAATTGTTCCCATTTTAAATCATTTCCGTTTTTGACAAAATTAATAATGTCGTTTACTTCTATTTTCTCATGGTCTAAAAAATTGCTAACTTTGCTTCGGGCTATCATTCAAGGTTGATTTTGGCTGGCTCGGGAAATTTTATAATGTTGCTTTTTTTTCTCAACTTTTTTAAAAAACTTTATTCATTTTTCACAATGTCTGATAATTTTTTCTTCATTTAGAACTGGTATCTTTTTTAAAATTCTTTCATAATTACCATATTTTTCCCAATCTTTCGACATGGCAGAGAAAACACTTTCAATTACTGGTCCACCATCCCAGGCCTGAAAGTCCTCTCCAAAATCAAGCAAAATATTTTCTTTTTCCAATACTTCTAGGTAAGTCAGATAAGTTAATTTTTGAATAATAGCAATATCCTCTATTCCTCTTTCATAAAAGTATTTAGCCAGGGAGAAAGGATTAATATCAAATCTTTGTAGACTATTTACCCACTTTTCCTTTTCACAAGCAAAGCAATATCTTTCCCACTTTTTTTCTTTATTAATTATAAAAGTATCTTTTTTCATTTCCATTATTTTCTTTTTCTATTCCTTTTTATTCGATACTTAATTCTCGTGCTAATCGGTTTCTTATGACTCATTAACCCTAAACCCTAATCCATTCATTTTTCTTATCCTGTAATTCTTTCAGTTCTTTTTTGACATATTTTTCAACATCTCAAATTATTCAAAGCACAGGTATAAAACAAAGTGCTAAAATGATTGCCCAAACTATTCTTTCACGAGCTATAAGGTAAAAAAGATAAGCATGGAATGAGATAAAAATTCCTCAAAATATTCTCATAATTCACAATCATTTTTTTGTTTCTTTGATTTTTTTGATTATTCCGGGTGGCTGGTCTTCTTTATCTTCGTGATAAGGGCAAAAAATACCATCTAAATATTTGCTATTTTGATATTCTAAACATTCTTTACAATTTTTTACTTGTCATTTCATATTCAATTTAGGAGGTAAGCCAGAGTGTGACGCCTCCGACTTACCATGGCGCTAACCCACTTATCAATTTTGTAGGTATCGATTCAGAACGGGTTAGCATATTGACGGCAAGACTGTAAATTATGCCGTTATACCAAAAGAAAAATATAACAAAAATCAGTCTTGCCATATTAGGTGGTGGGCTCAAATTGATGAAAAAGCCCACCATATTGGCGGGTAACCCGTAATTAATGTCATTCTTGTGAAACAAGATTTAGAACAGATTACCCATAAATAAAGATGGTTTATTCTTCCGGGCTGATACCATTACCACTTGCCTAATTGTTAAGAAAAGGTGTAAGTAATGCGGTTGTTGCCAACACTCTAAACCATCCGCTAAAACGATTATGCTCGGAAGATGAGATTTCTGTATTTTCGACAAGGTTCCTTTACTAATTCTGAGGTAAGTTGCGAAATTACCTGTTAAAACGAAAATTCAAGTTCGGCCTTGGTTGGTCAGAATGAGACTCTCATGAACTAAACTGACCCAAAACTTTAACAATGTTTTATCCTATTTTGATAAAAATAAGTAAATTGTCCATCATAATTCTTTATTTTTACCCCCTTGACAATTTTGACAAACTCATACTGGCACTTTAGGGGAGATTGTAACTGAGGTTCAATTATGTTTCATGGTAAAAATAATGCCCTTCCAATCCTTTGATATTGAAAATAAGAATTTCAGAGTGAAAAATCACTCCTGCAAAAATATTTTTGGGTAAACTGATAATAGAACTAATTGTTGGATATTTACCGTTACTTAATCTTTTTCATCTTTCGCTCTGGCGAGTTAAATTTAATCTAAATCCAACCGGACAAAATAATACAATCGGGATATCCGGACCAAACAATTCAATAATTTTATCCAACCAGATTTCAGGGGCCAATTTAGGCTTCATCCCATTAAAAGGGGGATTACAAAGAATAAGGGCTGGCTCAAATTCCTTATTCACTTTTGCCTTTTCTGCCAACAGAAAATCAATTCCTCCCCTGCGAGGATGTTCTGAACTATTGAACCAAAAAACCTCAGTGCTAATATCGCTTCCGACTGTCGAAAAATCATAAAGACCGGTATGTTTTCAAGGAGATAGCAAATTTCCCTTTCCGCAACCAGGGTCAAAAATTATTCCATTGGGAGGAATTTTATCTTTTAGTAATTCAAAAATAAATTGGCTGACTTCAACAGGCGTCTGAATATTACTATATTTAGGTTTTAAGTGATAATTATTGCGGTCTATTCTATACATTTTTACTTACTTTCAAATTCTCGGGCAATACAAGCAGAGCATAAATCAATATGTTCTCCTATTTCAAATGTGGTTCCATCAATTATTCCTTTAATAGGCAAACGATAGCACATTACTCAAACTGCAGTGATTTTTTTGCCTAATTTATCAGAAAAACAATTCCTACATATTCCCCGGTGAATTTCTACTTTGATTTTCATTTTAGGTTCTACATCCTTTTTGATTGGCATATTTTTTTTCTAAATTCTTATGAATTAGGTGAAAGTGAAAATCACAAATCCCTATTTTATGTTTGCGACAAAAACTTTGGCAATACTTACAACTGAACTTTTTTTCTTTGATTTTTGACATATTTTTAAAACCTCGTGACTCAGGTCTCTCTTCTGAGCCACGAGTAAATTATAAACAATACCTTTTTCGAGTGAGGTCTCGTATAATATGACTCATAAAAATTGATCATCTATGGTGACCCATGTGTTTGTCATGGGCCAAATGGAGGGAGGATAAACCATTTCTGAAAACATTACCAAAACGACATTAGAAGTGAGACTGATGCCGTAAATTAGACGCTGATGAGGCGTGGTAATAATATAAGGAATATCCTCCCATTTTGCCCGCTAGTAAAATTAATAAAAACCAGCGGGTGATATTTTGCGATGGGCCACTCATGTCTGCCCTCACTGTCGCTTTTTAGGCCCGTTTTCGAGTATGGCCTGCGTAAATGCAAACTGTAAGAGTGAGCATTTTTAAGCGACGAACGACTAAACTCGGATAAGTTCATTATCATGAGTCATTTGCCGAGCAAAAGAATAATCATAAATGATTATATATTTATCTTTATTTACCACCTAGGATGGAGGGAACCAAAATAACAAAAAAACCCAAACTAAGCAAGTCCACGTCTTTTAAGTTCTGCTTCTCATCATTTTACTTTTTCCTCTAAAATTTCTTGCTTTTTTACTTTTTTATTCATAATTTTCTAAATTCCAATCCTGCACCTCCTCAGATTTCAAAGCAACTGTATGACAAAAATCATTTTTTATCAGTGCTTGTCAATATTCTTTTTTAATTTCTACTAAATAATAATCAACTAATCTTGGGTGTAGTTCTAATTTGTAATCTACTTGTTTTTGTTCCCGAAAACATAAACGCAATGCAGATGGTTCAAGCCAAATTTCTAAACTTTCTGTGATTTGGTAACTTTTACCAGCCAATAAATTACAGGTTTGAACTTCTGTTCGTTCTAGAAATGGGTAAAAATTTTTGGGAGTTTTCGCAGTTGAGGGCAGATAAACCGAGTAAATATTGTCACGTTTTTGGATTATTAATTTAGGCATGATAGTTTAATTGAGATTTGAATTATCAGTCATCAAGGCCTCTCGTAATTCTTTAATTATCTGATTTCTATTCTCTACCTGATAATCCCCTACTTCTAATTTTCGCACACTATCCAAGGAGCAACTTCAGCATAATTTCCTATACTCAAGGGGAGTATCAGCAATTAGTCAGATATCTTTTTCTAAATGGCATATTACGCATTCACCCCGCTGATTAGACGGGGCGA